GCTAAAGTCCAAAAACATAACAAGAAGCACACCTGGATGTACAGTCATCTCTACAAAATATTGTGTAGTGTAAGTTCTGCGTATAAAGGCCATTCTGACACTGTGGTCCTTGGGCACCACTTGGAGTCTTAGTTAGGAGAGGTGTGGGGAGAGGGTTAAGTAAAGATCTGAAAGTACCCAAGTCACATTAATAGTACCTAAGAGGCTCCAGAAGTTTGCTCTTCTCTGCATTCAAGTCACTGTTTATTGACACCTCTTCTCCCAAAAGACAGTATTCTTTCTGAGTGTTTTAATTTTAGCTAACAAAGTGATCTAAGTATATGAAATATGGGTGGTTGATAAATCTTCAGTCCTATAAAGCACAGTAGTATGTGCCTATAATCCATTGTGCAGTTCAATATTGTAGCTCAAGCTATATGTTGGCTACCTGACATTTAAATTAAAAAGAAAAACCAAAACTAATTTCTCAGTCACACTAGCCAAATATCAAGTGCTCAACACCCACATAAAGCTAAAAGACATTTCCATCACTGAGCAAAGTTCTGTCAAAAAGTTAATTCTCAAAATGCAAAAGGCACATCACTGACAGAAAAAAAAAAAGTTAAATATAATTCAAATGTCATATAGGGTTGAATATATACATTTAAAAGTAATTTTACAAAGCTAAAAACTAAGCTGAATATAGTGGTTTATGCCTGTAATCCCAACACTCAGGGATTACAGGCACGTACTCCTGAGGCAGAAGGATTGCTAAATCCGAGGTCAGCCTGCGCTTCACAGTGAATTAAAGATTAATCTGGACTACTGTCTCAAGAAACTGAAAACTAGAAGCTAAAGAGTAAATATAAATGGGTCTTTTAAAACCAATGTGTAGATCCCAACCATAGTGAAACAATTACACCAAGAGCAAACTTTCAAGGTTCCTGAAATCATTAATTTCACTGCACACTAAAAATGAAATGACTGAGGGCTGGGGATTTAGCTCAGCGGCATAAGCGCCTGCCTTGCAAAGCAGGCAGTTGTGAGTTCGATCCCTGGTACCGATAAAAATGAAAAAGACAAAAAAAAGAAATGACTGTAGTTCTATATACACACAGTTCTGTCTTGAGTTACAGTATTTAACTTCAGTTAAAGTACTTTCATCTAAATTAGCCACACTTTGTAAAGATGGATAAACTGACCATTACAAAAAATTTGAAAAACATCTTAAAACTTGAACGCTATTCCCAAAGCAGATTGTAGCAGAATTCTAGGTAGTACACGTCTTCCAGTCCAGCTACATATATCACATCCCAGTAATACTTAACATTTCTCTCTGCAAACCAATATAACCTTGGCAAGAATCCCTATCATTCAACTCAAAAAACATTCCATGCCATTTTGTTGTCTGGGTTTAAGATAGGGTCTTATGTGGCCTTGAACTCAGGATGCTCCTGCTTCAGCCTCCTGAGTGCTGGGATTAACAGGTATGAACCACCACACAATGGACCATGCCTGCATTTATGTATCTTAGGGAAAAGAACAGCAAAGGTAAATTTTTAATAAAAAACCCAGAACAGAACCACTTGGCATAAAGACACTTAATATTTCAGAAAAACTGATGCCAGACAATTGAATGCAAAAAAAAAATCAGAAATTGAAAATTGTGAACAATATTTTATATGAAGCTTATGACTTCTTCACAATCTGCAACTCCAGCAGCATACTACCCATACAGGCACCTCTTAAAACAGTGCCAAAAAGTTTATTTAGAAAGTGCAGGGTGACAGAAACTGGCTCTACAGAACTTGGGCTGAATACAGTAAAAGTAAAAATAAAAAGTATAGGCCATATCTAAGAAATGTGGCGCCAATAAGCATGGAAACTCATGCCTGATAGGTGTTTTTTTTTGCTGACTGCTACCAGTCTAAAATCCAAAACAGAAAAAAAATTCCTTTATAACTTAAAGGATTAACACTCATTTCTTGTAGCACCAAGTCCTGATGATGGATCTTTCAGAGCTAAGGGGCACAAAAATAAATTTCCAGCTCACCATTTGGAGTTTCACATGCTAATACTACACCCAAATTTCTCATTTAAAGGTTTTATACTAAATGTTTCAGAGTGTTTACTGCTACTTAGCAAACCAACAGAGGCTCAGAGCCTTCCGTCAATTAAAATAATCCTTTTTATTGTTTGCTTTTGTTGAGACAGGGTCTCAACATGTAGCCCAGGATAGCACTGATCTCACAATTCTGCCTCAGCTTTCTGAATGCTAAAATAATTTTTATTAATCTTTTTAAAGTGAGAGGATAAGAATGTGAAACCAGGAAATACAGTACTCTGAAAGCCATTGGTAATTTAGGCTTTTTGTGCAAATTAATCACTATTTACTGCAGTACACATTCATACAGCATACAGTTTAGGTATGACACAGCACTACAAAAATAATGTCCAAATTTTTCAAGTATTTTTGCAAAGCTGCTTTATACTCAAAATCTTCAAGTTATGTGAGAAGGAAATGATTTCTCTCAAGTATTCTCAGAAATTTTGAATCACTTAAGAAACCAGACCCGTATCAAGTCTGCCTTTAATTAGTAAAAAGGCTAGACTCTAATCTTTGGAATCATTTGACAATTCTTGTCTCATAAGCAACAAAAATAAAAAGCAAAGAATTACGCAAAATTAACACTGGCCAACATCATTTATGAGTAGGGTCTATTCTTGTCATGTAAAAGAAAGAACTGCTGTGCCTGTTTCTCTGGTGTCCTGTTTGTGTGCATTTGTTTGCAGAAAGCTATGTCAGATGCATATGTGAGGCGAGGACAAGCCCACGTTTTTCTTCATATCCAGGAACTGTACCCTTCTCAACCCTCCACCTTCATTTATCATCACACTGCAACACAGGTAACCACAATTAAACATGGATGCAGCATGACAATAACTCTTCTATATTCACTATCATTTAACATTTCTTAACTTTTTGTAAAACTATTTTTCTTGCCAGGGTCAGCTGAGTTACAGTATTTGAAAATTAAGAGTTGAATGAAGAAAGTTGCTTTGGAGAAGAAAGTTGCGTTTACTTGTTTTACAGGCAAAAATTTATTGTTCTTTCTATTAGAGGAAAATAATTTCTTGCTGTTGCAAGCAAACGTGATAATACCTGTAAAGAAATATGAAATTACTCATAGCCTGGGTATTAAACTTTATTAGCAAGAATCCTTTATGTTATACCAATCGGGGAAATTAAATAAATCTGCTTCAATGTAAGATGTTCAATATTAACATGTCAAACCACTGCATCCTGTATCAAAAAATCAGCCCTCAGACTTTCTTTAAGGGATACTTTAAGTGTATTAACATGAATAAATTTTTGCAGTTAAGTAAAAGTCAAGATTGCTGAACCAGGAAAATCAGAAGCTTGGAAGTGGCTTAATTCTGAGAAGACCTCCCAATGGTCACCTGCCTATGCAGGGCACTGGCACGTTGCCAGACTAGACAGTACATTGTCTCCAGAATGAAGCTCTCGGGGAAGGAACTCTAGAACCCACTAAAAAGATGCCAATTACAGATGAACTAACCTTGGCTAATGTGCACAAGTGTGCTCTATTCCCAGCACCCTATTGAATCGTGCAGTCCTGAAGGAGATATTCAGGCTATGATTCTCCAACTACATGCTAGACTGCAGAGGATCCCAAGGAAACCTCCAGAAAAACTCTTCCAACCTTTTAGAATTAAAGAACGGTTAAGAGTCACACTACTTTCAGAGAAAACAAGAAAAGAAGAAATTAAACGAATTCCTCTAGGGACCTTGACCCCACACACTCATGAGATTGACATGGCCCTGAGAAATGCGTCCCTTCTAGCCTTTCTGTTCCTTTATTGACCTGTTTCTACTGTCTAGGGAGAGGAGAGAGAGAAGCCACAGCCATTCCCCCCCTCCCCCAGAGAAGGTGCCTTTCTCAGCTGCGAGCCATAGAGGGAGGGGAAAAAAAAGGTTGCTCCTCCCCAACCCACCAGCCACACAACTCCAGGGTGCAGACCTGATGGGGAAAAAGAGCAAGGGAAGATGACAGCCCTGCAATGGCTCAGGGGCGTGAGGATAGTTCTTGCTCTGAGAGAAACGCTGAAGCATCTCCCCTCTCATCCCCCTACCCCAATGAATGAACTCAGTAAAACGGGAAGGGGAAAGTTAGTAAGCGCAGTTCTTGCCACCCAGAAGACAGAACGTCCCTCAGACCCAGGCCTCGGTGCCCTTTGCACCTCGACTCACTTTCATTCAAGCCCCATGTTGTTTAACCCTTTAAGCTTTCAACGTAGTGCCCATTCCCTTCATTATGCCGAAGATCGACAACCTCCCCCCAAACCCGGTCCTACTCGGGCTCAGATTCCAGCCTCTTCCTTCCTTCCCACCACCCTTCCCAGAGCCCTCACCAGCCCGGCCCAGCCGCACCTGGAGATGCTCCTGAAAACGAATTGGAAGAATCTGGGCCATGGCGCTGTCGTGGGGTACGGTCTCCTCCTGTCACTGGGGCTGCAGCGCAGTAGCTGCCCAGGCTCTCCGAGGGAGAGGAGGAGAAGGGGAAGGGGGAGGCTGGGTTCTGCAGGATACTCTCTGGGGACGCAGGAAACTGGTAGACAGACGAAAAAGCTCAGGTCGGGGGCGGAGGCTCCAGGGGCCGAGAGAGCCGCAATGGCGGAACCCGGCGCAGCGCAGACTCCGGAAACGGCTGAGCCCTGCGGAAGGATCCCGGCGACAGAGCTCCGCCCAGCCACCTCACGCCGTCCGCTTTATGTACCCCTCCACGAGGCGCCGCGCCGCGATCAGGCGCAGGAATTCGGGGCGCAGTGCGCTGAGCGCCTCAGTGACTGCAGCGACACAAGGCAAACGGAGGACCCGAAGGGACTACTTTTTAGACTCATCACTTTCCCCAATCTGTTTTCCCTACCCCCTCCTTTTTTTTTTTTTTTTTTTTGCATTTTGCCACATCATGCGACTCGGGACGAACGACGTCATTTCCGTCGGCGCCCTAGGGCCCACCCACGCACTTCCAGGTGCACGTGATGCTGCCAAGGAAGGGCCGGCTGTTTGCTGCTAGAATGGGTGCTAGGGAAGTGCGGCGTCTTCTGGGAATTAGATTGCTGTTGGGCCACTGTGAGGCGAGGCTGGTGCTGCTGCCCTCGCCTGCGGCCCCTGCGTATTTCGACCGAGTCCCTGAGGAAGAGGACGTGGCGTGGGCAGATGGGCCCTGCCTTCCGCCCTCTAGGTGACTCAGGGAAACGGCCTCCCCGCAGAGCGTTCCTCCCCCGCCTAGTTTCATGCAGTGGGTGGTTACTTATATCCCAAGGAAGGGGAATGAAATGGGCTTCAAATGGTCCCTGCCCTTACGCACACCCTTCTGATGGTTGGAGAAACTGACTCGCGGATCCTAGGAAAGTCTCCTCTTCGGGTAGTGCTTAATTAGCTCAAAGGACAGTGAAGGCCATTTGTGAGTTATCTCAATCTGGCTTTGTGATAACTTTTCCCTAGGCTCTTTGCGGACATTTTGGTGGACTTGGCATCGGCCCAGTTGAGTGATCACTTTGGCGTTAGAAGAATTTTGAGTATCATAACGCTTAAGGAAGGACTGGACCAAAATTGTAGCAGGACGAGGTTTCAGTCACATCAAATTACGAGTCTCAAAGATAATTAGGTTAAGGATGGTTGGCTTAAAAAAATACCTTAAGTGTCTTACTGGAGGGAAGAGATTATTAGACGTGTATTTCAGTGGGACCACCTCGACACTGCCTGTAGATTAGCAGTGGGACTGTAAGCGCTTCAAAGCCGGATCATCGTGTCTTCTACAGCATTAAGGTATCTACGGCATTCCTTATCGATTAATATCCCCAGTACTTTCTGTGTGAGCTGTACCATATCATCATAGAGCCAATGCCATGAAGGATGAAAGAACATGTTTCCGTGTCTTTCATCTTTATGAGATTTTTTTCTTTCCCAGAAGGCTCTTGAGAAAAACTCAAGTCCTAAACAGTTATTTTCACTTAACATCATATCCTATTGGTTGTAAAACAATTTGTGTGCCAAGTAGTTTTGCTTCCATTAGTTTTAATCATTTTAGTTCATGTATTTCCCAAAACACTGTCGTTTTAGGATGACAGAAGAATCTGGCAGGTAAAAGGGCAGTTCTGTTCTGCAAAGAAATGCCTCGCCACCATGTTGTACGAGTGAAGATTTATGCTTGCAAAATTTCATGTTGTTGGTTAGAAAAAATAGTTGAAAGTGTTCTGTAGTCTGCAACATTTGAAATGGTATTTCTAAAGACAGTCTAGTTGCTTTAAATTCTTTTAAGAAGTGGACGGCTTCTAAATTGAAATTCTAAAGGAATTACTGTTTTATTACAGTAATACATTAGCTTTCAAGTTACATTTTCAATCTCAGAATTAAGGATACAGAGCTATATCAGGAACAGGGCCACCAAAATTTAATAATAAAGTCTTGTATCTTCATACATTCCCGGTATTTTAAGTACATTTAGAATCCCAAAAGCAACTTTTTTAGCTTAGCTATTTGATATGGATTATCTAAACAAAAAATGCACTAAGGTTCTATTAAAGTGACTACTGGCTGTGTCATATAAAAATCTAACGAATGCATTTTCAGAAATCATTTAGGAAGAAAGATTGTGATATTCCAGATCATTTTAAACACTGTACCCTTAACGCAAAAGTTTTCAATTCCCAGTACCAAAAAAAAAATTTTTTTTTCAAGAGAAAAAAATGGTCTAGATGATAAACACTTAAAAACCCACATGCCCTTTGAAGCTAAGTAATTTGGTGTGGGATAATAAGCTTTATGTAGGAATATGCTAATATTGCTAAGGGTGTAGAGGCAGGAAAAAGGTTATCAGTGGATAATTTAGGTGCCAGGGAGGATGAGGCACACTCAAGTTTCTTAACCCATACCTGAATGACATTGTTTGGGGGCACTACCTTAAGTTAGAGTGAAAAAATAAAACCTAATAAAAACAAATCCTGCTACCCAGAATGTTTTTTTCTAACAGACTACTGCAATGTATGAATCATCACCCTGGCTTTTGATTTTGCGAAAATATTTTAGTAAGGTAGCCATGTTAATAAAACAAATGATAAAAGTTTCTTTCGATATGAAGCTTTTTTTAAATCGATGTTCATCAACAGCAGATCCTTGGAATGAGTCACAGCAAGTGCCATTAGCAGAAACGTTGCTTGGTCTATTGAGAAATGCAATTCCTAAATCTATACAAGAGACTTGTATTTGCCATCAATTTTATATTTTATGTCAGTAAGTATAGCGATGTGTTTATATGTGTATGTTATCTCCAAAGTAATGGAAAAGAAAAAAGAAAAAAAAACTTTTTATGGTAGGATTCTTCTGTAGCTGTTTATCCTAAAGCAGACCTGGCACCAAGGTGTCTTTTCAATTGTCCTTTATAAACAGCTCAAGCTGAGTGCACACACCCCTATAATATCAGCCACTTTTAAGGCTGACGGAGAATTACAAGTTTGAGGCCAGTAACATAACAAGGGAGACCTTGTTTCAAAAGCTGAGAAATAGCTTGAGCTAGCTGCCTTGCAAGTCATAAACTTTTCTCAAGATTCAAAGATTTTGAAGGCAGAACTTTAAAAACTAGTCCTTTGTACCACATATTTACACTTTAGATTTTAGCAGTCACCAGAGATACAGTTTAATAGTAATGGTTTAATGTAATTGGTTTTGCCATTTGAACAGCAGCTTTGAAATCTCTCAGCCCCTAGGGGTACAGATATAAATCCCAGCAGGGACAGATCATGTCATTATCTTTTCAAGCAAGATAAACAGCACTGTATCACATGCCAGTGAGAAAATGAGTATCCCTTGGATGTCAACTCCTGGTCAACATGCAGTTCCTGCTGTGGTTTAGCTTTGTTTAAGGCAGATTATAGGTAAGGCCCTTAAGCGGCCTTCTATTTTAGAATGAAATGGACCTCAGCTGCATACTTTCAGTATCTTTCACGTCCCAAACTTGTTTTAAACCTTGATTGTGGATCAGCATGGAGCACATTCCAAGTGAAAAGCTTAAGCCTGGAGATCCACCCTAGATTCTGGTCACATTACACAGGTCCCTCCCATGTTTTCAAAAGGTTAAATCAGATCCCAGCAGAATGAAGTGGCTCATGATACTACCTTAAAAGGGTGTCTCCAGAAAGTTAGTTTAAATATAGCAATTTATAGAACATTGTGGACAGAAAAATCCAGAAACATTTTAGCCTACTAATCAAGAGGGAATGAGGTGCCAAGTCACAGTATTTCTTTCCCATCCAAACACAAGTCTCAGAGAGCTGCAGAGGGCTATAGAATGAAACGGTGATGAAGGTAAGGATGTTTGTTGTAGGCTTTTTTCCATTTCTAAATATGTAAAACTGTCCTTTTTCCTTTCCTGTAGCTACTAGTACCTCCAGCTCAAAGCAAAGCATGGCCTACAAGTGTGTTCCTCAATAATCTTAAAAATTCTATCACATTGTAAGGATAGTTTTGATAGCAACAAATGTATACAACTGGTTAGTGGTAGTAAACTCTCAACTTTCTCAGAAATGATTAAGGAATGCAACTTAATAAATATATTTTGGTAAAATCAGCAAAAAGCCCCCCACGAAGTAAGCGGCTTTCCTGTGCCATCCTTGTCACTTCACAGGCCAAAAAGCAATGGAGCCTGCTGACCAAGGACTGAAGCCTTTAGACAACAGAAGCCTTCCTCCTGTAAAATGTGCTTTTCTCAAGTGTTACTGGGTGTGGAGAACCATTCATTTTAACTTGTCCTATATCAGAAGTTACTGAAATCTCAGCTATTAGTCACAGGGGAGGCCAAAGGACATTTGAGTTCCAGCTTATACTGGCCAGTATGCTCAAAAGTGCTAACTTAGGTCTTTCAGTGGAATTTGAACAATTCTAGTTTGCACAAGTGAGAAGAGTTGCTGGCCTCAGAATCATCAGACTCCAATAGAAGGAACTTGTATTAAACAAGAAGACCCAGATGAGTTCACTGTATATCAATAGAACATGTCCTTTTATTTATACAAAGTAAAACATTTTAATTTACAAAATTCACTTTAAAAGGTGTGAAGGAATAGTAATTTATTCAGTAAATATTTTTAATACCTACAATGTAAAAATAAATATTTTGTAAAGACTTTTTGAAAAAAAGAGGGAAAGCAGTTCTAGATCTTAAAAGGCCTCCTGTTCATCACAGTAAACGATTTTTGTATAATATGTCTTACAAAGATAGACCAATCTCTAAGTTGTAAACCAAGGACACACAAGAAATTACTTGAAAAAGCCTTACCTCATCCTATCGACTGGTCAAAGTAGATTATGAAAACACCAAAAACCTGGTTATTTTTCCTTGTCATATTCCAAGTTTAATGTTGTACAGATACAGCCATATAACTACTGTTTTTCCCTAACACTCCAGAATTGAAAATATGTAAGCTGGGGGGATATAGACAGCACAAGTGCCTGCCTGGCAAGCGTGACAACCCCCAGTACCAAAAAAAAAGGAAAAAAAATACGCAGCCCTCATGAGTCCACCTCATATTTATTGATCTAAATTTTATTTTTCTTTGCTGAGGCTGCTCTGTTTGCCCTAAGAATCATGAAAAGCTCTCTATTTAGGTTAGGTTAAAGATCAAATACTATATAAAGCTTTTAAATAAAAACCAGATAAAGACAGCTTTTATTTATTCATGTATTTATATTTTGTTTTTTGAAACAGGGTCTCACTACGAAGTTCAGGCTTACCTTGAGCTCACTTTGTAGACTAGGCTAGTTTCAAACCTGCCAGGATCCTCCTTGCCTCAGCCTCCCCAAGTGCTGGGATTATAGGCATGCACCACCACACTCAGCTCACCTTCTTGTATTTTAGATATTGTCTAGTTGAGCAACCAGATCAGATGTGAAGATGAGTACATTCATCATTACTGAGGAAGGCTTTTTAAAAATTCAGTATGGGGCTGGGGATTTAGCTCAGTGGCTTAAATGTTTACCTGATAAGTACAAGGTCATGAGTTTGATCCCCAGTACCAAAAAACAAACAAAAAAAATAAAAATTCAGTATGTTTAAAAGGAATTAAATGGAGTAGCAGACTGGCACACAGTGGCAGTCCACAGATGCTGCATACTAAATGAAAAACCCAGGCCAAGATGACTTTTTTACATTTTTTATCTGTAAGAAAGTGTGGTGCTCGAAGTTTCCTTCATTTGACCTACTTAGTGATAACCTAAGATAGACTGAACATTGCAACATCTTTCAAGAAAGTGCTTCAGGTGATACAAATAACCTTCCCATTGTTTAAATCTATCTCCAACTTCTCTTTTTGACTCAGTCTAAGTTCTCCTCTTCCTTGAAAACTGGAAGTCCACTTCTCTAGCTATTATTTATTGGCTGTACTGTCATTCTACAGGGCCTGAGGGAGGCCCCCCAAAAGATGAGGAACTAAACTTACCCTACCCACAGGGTATGTTGTAGATTCACAGACTTCGGTCACAGAAAAAAATCAGGACACATCTATAAATAACATGGAAAGATTTACTAGAAAGTACACACTCAGGAGTGCAGGCGCTCATTGAGTAGGGCACTTTATGGCCTGGAACTAGGTGCTTTTCTTGAGAAAAGTGAGGCAGACTTTCTTGAGGGTGAAAGTCTGCAATTTGTGAATCTACAGATCTGAGGAAAAGCAGCAGGCCCACTTATAGGCTTATTGTTATCTTTAAAACCCTTCTTTTTTTGGTACTTAGAAGGTAAAAAGGCATTGTAGGGGCTGGGGATTTAGCTCAGCGGCATAAGCACCTGCCTTGCAAGCAGGCGGTCATGAGTTCGATCCCTAGTACCCATTTAAAAAAAAAAAAAGGCATTATAATCTTTGGTAACTCTCCTTAAGCTGTAATTTTCTTTTTTTCTTTTTGTCTTTTTTTTTATCGGTACTAGGGATCGAACTCACGACTGCCTACTTGCAAGGCAGGCGCTTATGCTGCTGAGCTAAATCCCTAGCCCCTGCTGTAATTTTCTTAAAAGTACAATTTTAAGATAATTTTCCTTGTCTCTCTTACTTATTTTTATTTCTGCTCCCCATCTCAGTACCATTTACTTCATTTGAAGCCTAGGCTAACTTAGGTAGTTAATAATGACACCTTTAATTAGCACAACAATCACTGGTATAAACTTTTATAACAAAGCATCAGACTAGGTGTTGTGCGCATTACCTATTTCATTTCCTCTTTTAGCTAAAAACCAAGTAATAATATTAGGGTAGAAAAATATACAGGTTTTATCTGGACAAGTAATGGGGGGGGGGTACCAGCAATCAAACTCATGACCTTGCATTTGCCAGGCAGGTGCTTAAGCTGCTGAGCTAAATCACCAGCCTTACATTTTAAGTTTAAAGGACAGCTAACAAGTAAAGATCACTTTGAAAATATTTGGAAAAATAAAAATTACAATTTGTTTATCCCTCATGCTCAGTTTACCAGTTCTTCTACAAAAAAAAAGTAAAAGGCTGAAAAGTCAAAAAATCAGACATTTTTTTTTATCGGGCTTTTTGTTGTTGGTGGTACTGGGAATTGAACTCAGCACTTTGTGCTTGCCAGGCATGTTCTGTGCCACTGAGTGGTATCTCCAGCCCTCACATTTCATTTCTGCAAATAAAATGATTATTTAAATTAATATAGGAATAAAAGGAAGCTTTTCAAGAATCAAATGCAAGAGGCGAAAAGCTGATGTGAAAATTGTAAGAAATCTGAATTTAATTTTCCATAATAAATTTTATTTTTATCTTTTTGAGACAAGATTTTGCTATGCAGTTCAGGATGGTCTTGAATGTACTTTGTAGCCTAGGCTGGCCTTAAACTCGCAGTGATCTTCCTGCCTCAGCCTCCTGAGTGCTGGGACTACAGGCATGCACCACCATGCCTGGCTCCATAATAAAATTTTAAGTAGTAGTATTTTACTTAATTATTTTCTGGGTTGTCGTCACACTACAACAGCAGAAAAATTAAAAGAGCGTGTGTAGCTAGAAAGTCTAAAATATTTACTATTTGTACTTACAAAATTTTATTATTTTTATCTATTTTTTGTATCAGGGATTGAACTCATAACCTCACACTTGTTAGGTAAGTGCTTAATTAATTTTAAAGAGAATAAAACCAAGCAAAATAGAACAGAGTAAGGTCAACCAAAACAAAACAGTGAAAGTAATACAGGACTTCAAAACAGGATAATAGGAAATCAACAATGGCTACCATAATGCCTCTTATCTTCAAAACTGCTGCCCATACCATCAGACATAAATCAAACAAAACAAAATGAAACCAATCAAAACAACATACAATAAAATAAAACACTAAAACTGAACAAAACAGTAAGAACAATAATGGATTTCAAAAACAAGAAGGAAATGCCCCATATTTGCTACTGCACACTGCATATTGTTATCCTCTCAATAGATGCTCAGTCTACCAGTTCTAGGCCTACAAAGTCAATCAAACAATACAAACATTAAGTTGTTTTGTTCCTCTGTTGCTAACAATTGGGGGAGGGGCACTTACAACATTCTGACCAAATAATTTTATTATTTCCTATAGACAGTTTGAACATATGAAAGTGTTTGAAATACCCAGATATGTACATTAATGATGAGAAACTTTCTATTATAATATTTATAAGAGACAAAGGTACAGTAACACAGACACATTCCTACATTTCTGGTGTGAATCTGAACTGGTTCATTTGTTTAGGAGTGGCCCTGAAGCCTGAAAAATAACTGCACTACTGTGCAGAATTTAACCAGTAAAACATTGTTACAATGTATTCAACCATTCCCTATTGATAGCTATATGCATACATGTACTGTTTTCAAGTTTTTACTATTAGAAGCAATGTTTGTATAGATTCTATATTTAACATCAATTAATGTTAAATCTATAGAGGCCAAATTTTATAAGGAACACAGTATTTTATAATCTCAAAATTTCCTATAACAAATCTAGAAGTATAGACTTCCTAGGTCATGGGTTGGACCACATCTTCAACTTTGCTAGGTATCATCAAAATATTTTCTAAAGGAAGAGAAATTAAAAATGTATTATACACATTGAAAGCCCACCAAAAAATGGAAATGGGAGGGAGGAACAGAGATGAGAAAGGAATGAAAATTACCAAAGTATGTTATGTGCACATATGAATACACCAAAACAAAACCTATTAATCTGTATAACCAATATACCTCAATAAGTAAGATGGAAAAAATCTTAAAGCCGTTTATTCTCCCACACCAACACTTCTCAGGCATTTCAACTGTGGACAGTTTGAGAGAAGAAATACTATCTTCTTGTTATTTCCATCTGTATCTTCCTAATTATTAAGGTTCATTATCTTTCCTTATTTGCAGACCCCTCATCCTTTATGAAATATCTCACCATGTCCTTTGCCTAATTTTTTATTGTTACATTTTTGTTTCTGTTTTGTTTCATTTAGTAATTTGAAGGCGAATTCCCATCCTTTTAAAAACAAACTCCTCTAAAACCACCACCTTTTCTCCAAGGTTCTTCCTACCATCTTGCAAGCCTTAATAGGATCCAACTTGACTTGATACTAAATAACCCTCTGAGTAGAAACTGAGAAATTTTTAAAATATCATTGCCACAATTATCTCAAAGCTGTAATGTTGTCATTCTCTTATAACAAAACCCAGGAGGCTGAGGCAGGAGGATCATTGAGAGTTCAAGACCAGCCTAGGCTACAAAGTGAGCTCAAGGCCAGCCTTAAACCCGGTCTCAAAAAAAGACCAAAAAAAAAAAAAAAAAAAAGCCATATATTTGAAAAGATAATTCCAAAATCTACAAGTTGGTTTTCAATATGATAACTTTCCATAATATGATCTCAACTAACATTTTCAACCTATGGCTTTTCTATATATACTCTATGTACCACATAAACTAGACTCTTTGCCACCTCTCTCAAACACCCCCTGAGCTTTCTGTCTATTCATGCTGTACCTAGCATCCATCTTTACTAGAAACTGATTCTTCAAGGAATGCTCTACCTTGCAATGTAATACTGACAAATACAGATTTTAAAAAATCAATATGCAACCATAAGAATAAAATTGGTACAGGAAAAAAATCAACTGATAATAAATCCTTGTATCCCTCCTCAAATGGCATACGAATTCAAAAGCATTGTAGGCTAAAGAAAATTTTTTTAAAAACTCTAGCCGGTATGGTGGTGCACACCCACTGGGGAGGCTGAGGCAGGAGGATCACTGTGAATTCAGCACATTGTGAACTACATAGCAAGATTCTGTCTCCATAAATAAATAAAAATTTAAAATCACCCTAACTGAAGTTAATATCACCATTAAGGGGAAAATAATTATGTACGTTCAAATGTAATAATCTAGGAAAGCCACTGTATCAATTATGCAATGTTTTAGTCAAAATACCAACCATGAGTAAACAGAGAAACTCAAGTTGAGAGCACATATAGTCTGCATGTATATATAATTAGTCTGCATTATTATTATTTTTTTTTGTATTGTTTTTTTGAGACAGGGTCTCACTACACAATTCAGGCTGGCCTTGAGCTTACTTTGTAGCCCAGGCTGGTCTCGAACTTGCAATGATCCTCCTGCCTCAACTGCCCAAGTGATGAGATTATAGGCGTGAGCCACCCGCCAGGCTAACCTGAATTATTAAAAAACAAGAAGAAAAGAAAAGTTAATGTCATAAAAGACAAAGGAAGTGCCCCTCAGTCCAATCTCCCATATGGCAAAAATAAAACAAAAACAATAAAACCAAACCAAAACAAAACTTGACTGAATCAGAAACTTTCTCATTCCACAAATCCCTGCTCTCCCCCCACATCAAAGTAAACACCTGGAAATATACACCTGAGAGTAACTCTTAGGACTGAATGATTAATGTGCTGAAATCCTGTCTAGAACACTTAACAATAAAAGTAAATAAGTTAATGATTCTGGAAATGTTCAAAGAGAAACCATCACTACTCACCTTCAAGGAAAAGTACATGAATTTGCAACTTATGATATTTCTAGTTTCTAATACCAAACATAAAACTGTTCAGATGCTAAAGAAAAAACTGGAGTTACTTATAAAAAATTTAGACTTAGTTTTCACACAAAATATCTAAAAACACATTATACTGTCTGTTTTAATGACACTAATAGCTTTATTTAACAAACACCAAGTGACTATTATGTGCAAAGCACTATGCTAGATGCCATGAAAAATACAAAGATGAAAAAGACATAGTCCCTGCCCACAGGAGCGTATAATCTAGTGCAAGAGACAAACAAATACATAAATAAGTAGAATACAAGGCAGTAAATAAGAATAGCTGAGCGTGGCCTGAGTGTAATACTAATTAGCCTCAAGGTTCCAGTTTAAAACACTGGTGAAGTAGTGTCGCTACTTTGAAACTGCATCTCAAGACTGGCATAATATCTCAGTGGTCCTACCCAAGCAGCTGGAGACAGAGTAGGCCAGGTGGAGGGGTTGTTTGAAAGCACTCTCATACCTACATACATGGTGCTGACACAAGTATGCAGGTACAGCTACAAAAGAAATATATATAAAATCTGTCCTTTGGTTAATGGCTAAAGCTACTATTTAACAATATATTTTTATATAAAAAGGAATTTATATACTCCCAAAAAAATCAACTTAAGGATTAATATTAATTCAAGAAAGAATCCTGCCATAGGCAATTTTATTTACTAATTGATTCTTTTCTCTAAATATCTATAAAGCTCTATAGCAATTAAACAGACATCTAAGTATTGCTGAGTAAAAACCTCTTTATGTCTTAGCCTTCTGAAGGAATTGGTAACATACCTGATATAACACTATTCTAATAGCATCAAGAAGACCTTAAAGAGATTTAAGGAAAATAGTTTTTAATGCTTCAATGCAAATGGAACACACGCTGATTAAATACAATTTAATATTGTTTGAAAATATCTCAATGACTGCGTATGATACCAGTTAAGGCCAACAAAATGTAAGTGAGGAAAATATTACATGTATTGTCTTTCATTGGTTTCAAGTATCATTGCCTATGTCTATGTAATCACAATTCATTTGTTGGTACTGATGAGCTCTGATTTATGAGCTTTGATTTACTTTTAGCTCACAGGCTATTAACAACCCCTGACCACTTCCTCTTGATAGCCCTGTCTGAAATAACTGGCAAAGTAGAAGCATATTTCCTGGCTGCTTTTCCTCCTTTCTGAATTCACTGCTTAGCCTGTTTCCTTCAGTGTGTCACTGTGGTCTTGGATCCTCTGTTGTTTTCTCTCAAGGAAACGAGCCCGGGCATCTGATATGGATTTGTCATCGTTTCTTCTTTGCATTTTCTTTAGGACTTCTTTTGATATTCCATCTGAAAATATTACAAATTAATCCAATGAAACTTTCATTTGAGATTTAATAGTAGAAGTGGTAAGAGTAACAGATGTCTTGATCTTCCAATGTTAAGAAAAAAATACATTAAATTTAACCTTGTCAAAAGAAAGAAGAGTCTGTGGTTAAAGGGTGCTGGCTCAGTGTACGTGGGTGGCATGCACAAGACCATAGGGTTCATCCCTACCTCACATGGGTTCGGATGAGTGTACACACACACACACACACGGCACTGAAGTCAAAGAGTCAAAAAATCTGACCCAAATTTAAGCATGTAGGACAAATTATTACTGCAACGAATCTAGTGGTTAACATTTCTAAAGATCCTTTTATGATTTCTTGGGTAAATTTTTCACCATTCTATTTTGACAGTGATGTTCAATGGGGATTATTATGGCTTATATCTCTATGTTCCCCCAAAGCCTCATGCATTCATAGATGGGAGGTGGCTAGATCGTAAGAGTGTGACACTGGATTAAGGGCATGGTAACTGGATTAGTCTATTGATTAATTTAGCCTGTTTCTGGGTGTGGCTCAATGGGTGTACGGAAGACAGAAGACCCACCCTGGTTGTAGGTGGCAAACAACCAACAGGCTTGCAGCCTGAATGGACTAAAAGGGAAAGGAAGGCTCCCTGCTTTTCTTGCCTCCTGCCTGCCATACCATGAAATGTTTCTTGTCTGCCATGCAGCCCTCCTTTGGAGCCAAAAGACTATGTTCTAAAACCTCTACAAACTGAGCTAAAATAGAACTTTGGTCTTTCAACTGATGTCAGGTGTTTTGTCCCACAATGAAAAATAAGATAGATAATATAATAGGATCTCTTATTTAGCCTCAGAAAGTTTTACTGTAAAGTTTCTTGTTTATATGAACTGATAATTAATTTTTCTGTCCTAGTTCAATACCACAACAGTTTATGCCTTTCAGACAGGGAATATTTCAGGAAATTAGTATTTTAGGAAACAGTATTTCAGAAAAAAGTTCCTTGAAAAAATAAAAGAGGCTCTGACGTAATAATTCATAAAATTTTATAAAACATGACAAAACTAATAAATCATTACTGGGAAAAGTATGGCATAGCAGCTGGGGGTAGAACAAATGATTCACTCACCCTTCAACTGCTTCACATTTTCCTTATTTGTCCATCTCCTCCTTGCATCTTCTCTCACTTCACGTCGGGCCACACTGCTCAAATCATGAGCATTAAATTCATGCAACTTGGGTAACAAGTCTCTCACCCAATCGTAACGGATTGGACACACAATTCTTGCATAGACTTTGGTGGTAACTAATACCTCATGAAAAATGATCCATTCAAGTTTGGTTTCCTGTTCATGAAGCTATATAAAAGAAATCATGTAAGGATGATAACTGAATAACCTATCTATTCCACATTAGACGAAGCATGATGGCCCAGTCCTTCTGAATTTAATTCCTCTCGTCTTCAATCAAGAGGCATGGGTCAACTAATCTACTTACAGCTCTATGAAATGTAAGTACGAGTAAGTTTAACCTCAAGATAAAAAGTAGAAGATATCTTGTATATTACTTCTCCCACCTTTATAAGTGTTTTCTCTTCATTAAAAATAAAGTACTTACGGCTGAGGAAGGATGAATGTGAACTGGGCTTCCACGTCCGTCCATTGTGCAAAACGTTCTCCCCACAGATCTGTAGGAAATAAAACCAAATGATAAGGAACTGAACAGTAAAATAATGAGCTGAATAGAGAATTAAGTTCAAAATGAACAATGACAATATGTTCTACTACTTTAAAAAGTGCAATAAGCACAGGCTTACAAATTGTGAAGGAGGGTGGACAAAATCATTTCATTCTAAGTAACTCACAAACAATAAAATCACAATAGCTGGTTAAAAGAACCCATACAAATACTTGCCTAGCCCTAAATTTATTACCATTTCCACAAACTGCTATAAAGAATACCCTGTTTGAGAGAAATTCTGAAGCAAGAAAGCAATAAATAATACAGAAGAGCCAGGAGTGGTGGCACATGTCTGTAATCCCAGTACTCAGGAGGCTGAGGCAGAAGGATCTCTGAGTTCAAGGTCAGTTGAAACTATATCAGTGACATCCTATCTTAAAAAAAAATAATACACAAGAGATCTTACTGAGGGGTTTACACTTTATACTTTCACAATTAATTATATTTTTATATTATAATTTAGTCATGACAGCCAATTCTTCATTTCTTAAATTTTAACCTCTCAATTAGGCTAACCTATTTGCGAGTCTGCACTGTGTCAGCACCTCACTGAAATTATCAGTTTGACATCATCCTAGTTCTAGGCACACTACAACAACTGCTTTATTTCCGAGGAGCAAGGCCCACACCACTGCTGCACCAACTGGGTTCTCACAGCCTCCCACATCACTGCCTCCTCAGAAGCTCCCAGTGATGGTATGACCCAGCATGTGCCCAAAAGTAGAGCACACAACCACACCAGCTGTAGAAGATGGTACTGGGGTCAACAGATTGGGCAGCTCGGGTGCAGCAGCAAGTTAAACAATTGCAGATATGGGATACTACTGGTAAGCTGAGCTGCTGTCACTGGCTTCGGTAGCGCTCTCATCTGAGATGCTTTTTGGCCAGGAGGGCCATGCAAGAAGGTGTGGCTTCCATATGTGGCAGCTGGGTACTGAAAACTTCAAGCTCTGCCCAGAGGTTTAAATCTATTTGGCTGACACTATAACCTCTCCAAACGCTCATCTTAAATTAGTGTTACAAGTTAAACAGCTCTGTCAATTAAGTGTAAGAATTTCTGATCAATAAATAGTAACGTTAACAAAAAATACTGTGTGTGCTTTAGAGTACTAATGCTTTCATAACAAAGCCTCAAAACAATGTGTGAAGCTATGAAAAACAGGCACTTTATCCAAAGGTCAAAACTGAGACTCAAGGTTTGGGATATAGCTCAGTAGTAGAGCGCCTCACTAACATGCATGAGGCTCTTGGTTCAATCAATCTCTGGTACTGGGGGGAAAAAAAAGAAAAGACTAAGTCTCAAATAAATTAACTTTCTCAAGAACATAGAGTTGCTGCACAGTAAAACTAATTCCTAAACATGTATCTTTCTGCCTAAAAACAATACTTTTTATTATATTATACTATATCTCTGCCCAAAAGGATATAGTAAATTATTATTATTATTATTATTATTATTTTTGTCTTTTTGAGACAAGGTCTCACTATGCACTGCAGGCTGGCCTTGGGCTCACTTTGTAGCCCAGGCTGGTCTGAACTTGCAAACAATTCTCCTGCCTCAGCCTCCCTCCCAAGTGCTGGGATTACAGGAGTGTGCCACCACACCCAGCTGGATAGTTATTTTTCACTAATCTAAAATCTGATAACTAAAATAGCTCAGGTATCTTTTTCTAATTCATGGCCTTAATTGCAAATTCTTTGTGTTGTTGTTTTTTGAAACAGTCTTGCAATGTATAACAGGCAGACTATAAACTCATTATGTAGCACAGGTAGGCCTTGAACTTACAATGATATTCTTGCCTCAGCCTCACAAATGCTAGGATTACAGCTATGTGCCACTATACCCAGCTCTATGTGCTACACTTTCATGATACCCTGAAATTCTATTCCAACACAGAAATCACTTTCACTTTCAATATCTCTAACTCCCTTCCCCATTATCCTTATTCTCAGTTTATTGTCCATTCTTCTGTATATAAGAAATTTCACATTACCAGTGTTGCTCTTTTCCTTATGAAGTGCCATCCTCAGACGCTGACAACCCACATGAAACAATAGCTCCCTACCCTGTCCAACACTGTGCCAAGCTACACTCCCTCAAGGATGCCACTGTCAACCTGCTTGGCTCCCACACTCCACACAGGGCTACTGCTCTACAAAAAAACCTCTTGTCACTTGTCATAGGTCCACGCCGGACATGCCCTAAATCTGCTTTTTTCCTATACCCACTCAACTTGACTCCAATACCCACTCTGGGTCATTATGGCTTCCTGGTACAAGTAATAATTATGAAAAGGTTCATCATAATGGAAATCATAATGACACAGCTTAAATCAAATCTTTAATATTAAACAGTCTAGTATTATGGTCAAATACAGTAATACTGCTTACTTCATCTCTCAAGCTCAATTTGCTTACCTTCGAGCTACATTTTTGAAATAGCCTGCACAAAGACATCTGCGTAGTACTTCATGTTTAGGGCCTTCAAAGGTCTCTCGTGGGAAATCACTTTGCTGCAGAAAAACACATATTCAGTGGTAAATCTCACAGAACAATCTGAAATAATCTCTTATTTAAAAACCACAGTCCTAAAGATATCTACTTCTGGCCAATGTGGAATAGAATGGAACTAGATTTACCCTTTTATCAGAAATAACCAAAAGATGGACAAAATATATCAAACAATGACTCCCAGAACACTATGTAACAGCCAACAAAGGATAGGGCTCCCTGAAACAGGAAATAAAGTAAACTCAACTATTTAGCCTACAATCTTGAGAAAGATTCTAGACTAAGGCACAAGAAAAAAAAACTGAAATGGTACTCAAGACAACTCTCTGAGTTTGTAAGATAGAGTTTAGCATCTGGATAAACCAAGGATGTCTGGACTTTACAGAAGAAAGTTCAGCAGAGGAAGAGAACTGCACAGAGAGAGAACACCAAAGATGTGCAGCACGATTACCCCAGGGAAAGAACTTTCCCATAAAACACAAAACATGACAGTGCTTGGTATTCATACATGGCTGGGAACGACGGTTGTTACAAGTCAGCTAGAATACTTCATAATTCACATGACTCTGTATAGAGCACTTAGAAGGGTCTTATATTGGTAGCAGTGAATAACTAGCTCTAGACTGAGCACTGCTCTGATCCTGCATAACAAATCTTAAAGCAAGCAAGACCTAAAGGGAGCAAACAATTTCTAAGTAATTTGAATGAAAAATATCTAGCACTGAGCAAAGTAAAATTCACTTGGTTTGGCATCAACTCAAAAATTACCAAGCATACAAAGAAGTAGAAAAATACAATATTATCCCTAATGAGGATATGTTCAGTCAATTAAAATCAACCCAGAACTAACACAAATAGCACTACCAAAAAAAAAAAAAAGTGTTATGGAGAGATCTGAAAATTGTGGTTGTTTTAGAGACTCAAATTAAACATCTATGAAAAATATAGTGCTTACTTCAGTAGCACATATACTAAAGATGAAAAATTTAATAGGGAGATTTACCAAGAAATTAAACATTGCAGATGAAAAGATTTATGAATATAAAGACAAAGAATACAGGCCCAGTATTCACAGCACCACACATACACATGAAAGATTAACTTTATGTTATATATTTTTACCACAATAAAAATATAGATTTGGGGAAAAAAAAGGGTAATTATGCTAAGTAAAAAAAAATCCCATCCAAAAAAAAAAACCCCTAAGTACATGATTCCACTCACATAAAATACCAGGAAATGCAAATTTATCATAATAACAAGAGAGTATCAGTTGCTAGGTAAGGAAACCAGGGACACTGATAAGGTGAGATGGATGGATTACAAAAGAACATGAAACTTTGGAAACTCGGTGTGTTCCTTATCTCAAATGTACTGATGGTTCCGTAAGTTTATGCAGATGTCACAAATCATCAAATTTACAGTTTAAATAAGTACTCTGTTGCATGTCAGTTACACCTCAGTAAAGTTATTTTTTAAATATTCTCATTCCTGTAGGTAAATTTCTTTATTAATAGTAAGAATCGCACACGGAGTCAAGAAGACGGCTATTTGCAGAAGCAAGAAGAAAGAGAAGGCAGTAGATTAGAAAGGGTGGTAAGAGGTTACTATACGTTAGAGAAACCATGATATACAACACATAGGCCCAAACTGCTACTCCAGAAAGACAGTGTTATAGCAATCACCTGTTTAAGCTTCCTAATTAGTTCTCGAAGCTGAGCCTCCACACGGAATGCAGAAAATAAGCACCTCCAATGAATCCAATGTTTTTGGCACCATGAAGCTGGAGCTCCACTATAAACCAAAAATACTGTTGTCATGAAAATATCTTCTACAAGTGAAAGGCATTCTAACAGTCTCATTTTATTGCAAAAGTGGAAATCCAGGGGCTGGGGGTTTAGCTCAGTGCCTTGCAAGCAGGCGCTCGTGAGTACGATCCCCGCTACCGATAAAACAATGAAAAAGACAAAAAAAAAAAAAAAAAAAGTGGAAATCCATAAGTAACTGGTAGTCTTTAAATGAAATCTTTCCAAGAACTAACAAACTACTTTAGGATATTTATAAAAACAATTGTCAGTTAAATTAAAAATAATTTTATAATAGAGTTCTTTTTACATATAATCATTAACAAATATCGAGTTACTTTCTCATCTAACTGATTTATACAGAAAGCAAATTCTCTAAGATCATTTAGGTTTGAGAAGAGGACCAGTATTATTCAGTAAATGCGTAACAAGTTACTTGACATAACCTCACTGATGGCCAATGTCACTCTCATTAGTTGTAGATCAAACTGGCATGTTCTAGTACAAAAACCACTCTCATATACCTTGATTTGCACTGTTCAAAGATGACAGCTAAAGTTGCAAAGTCATTAAATCCTCCAGCTTTAGCTGCCAATTCGCGATGTTTCTGTTCTGCTTCCTTCTGGTACTCGGGATCAACTAAGGAGAATTGGAAAGGTAATTTAGTTCTACTTTACATTAACTGCCCACACTCACTGTGTTTTCTTCAAGTTCATCCAAGTCTGCCTCTGGGTATCATATAGTAGAACTATGTGAGCTCCTCTTTGGGGCTCTAATTTCTTCCACAACTCCTTTTTTTCTACTTCTTTGTGTGCATGTATAGAGCTGGGAATTGAACCCAGGGTTTTCACAATGAGCTACATGCCCATTCCTTTTTTATTTTGAGACTGGGTATCACTGAGTTGCTCAGGTTGGTCTCAAAACTCAAATCCTCAGGTTGCAGCCCCTCAGGTGGCTGGGATTATAGGACATAGCACCACGTCTGGCTTTTTTCCGCCTTTATATAAATGGAATCATATATTTAATGTGTCTGGGTTTTTTTGCTCAGCATTATGTTTTTGAGATATATCTATTACTGACTATGATATCACCTCCCAGATCCCCTTCAGAATTGACATGCTCTCTGACTGCCCAAGCCCTCTCCATATAGCATTTTACCCAGGCTAAACTTCCACAATTCCATTTATAAAAAAACTACTTAAGGATCTTTCTTTTATGGCAATGTATTACAGCACAATCCTATTCCTTTAGTATAGCTATCAGAGCTGGATTTAACAGAGCCACAACACTGCCTGATTCCAAGAAACAAAATTTAAATAGAAGACTACAATGTGAATCTGCAGTCCGTGATTCTAGGAAGACAGCTACCTGATTAAAAAAAACCTTAATGAAAGTATAAATTCTTCTACCTCAGGCTCTAAACAGTTTTCAACTGTTATGTAGGCAACAATGGAAGGAAGCAGAGACAAAAGGAAACAGAATATATCTCAGACCATTTGAAATGGTCTTGCTAAAGTAAAGATACAAATTATTAATAATGCCTATCTCTTATCAAACTTCCAATTGTACTACATCCAGCACTGACTCCACTCTGGCTAGTAATCCTAGGAGACGAACCCATGCCTAAGCCATGGGCTCCTGGAATCCCTGCACCAGAGAGTTTTCTCCAGAACTACAGAGCTACTGGAATTCCTGAATTGTAGTGTTTTTTTTTCCTACAGAAATGTAGAAGCCTTGAGTTCAATCACCAGTACCACAAAAGGAATGAATGAATGAGAACTAGAAAGAGAAAGAAAAAAGGAAAGAAAACAAAAAGAGAAAGAGAAAGAAGGGAAGAGAAGGGACCCTCAACTGTCTGACTCCATAGGGATATATAAAGCCTTAGAGAATGCTTCCCGCTGTGGCCCAGTTCTTCCTTTCCTTGCCTCCTCTACATGATTCTCTGGCTGTAACACCAACAATACTAATTTGCATACATGGTTCAACATCCTTTATGAAGATGGAACGTAACTGCAATAAATTTTGGTGGATTACAATTTAAATCCCAGCTCCTATTTTGTGAAGATTAACCTTAGATGGTAAGTGTGGTGTCTTTGCTGTTTGCTCAGACTTCAAGACAGTGGAGAGCCGAGTGCTTCTCTGGCTCTTGTTTCCATCTGCTACCTTCTCTCTGTCTCACTCTGTACTTCTACCTCCACCATTATTCTCAAAGTTAAAAAGAACATAATCTTGTTTCTTTTTCCTACTTCTTTCCTTAAAAATAACCTAATTTAGGGGCTGGGGATTTAGCTCAGCGGCATAAGTGCCTGCCTTGTAAGCAGGCAGTCGTGAGTTCGATCCCTGGTACCGATAAAAAGGAAAAAGACAAAAAACAAAACAAAACAAAACCTAATTTAATTAAAGAAAACTGGTAAAAGTCCCAGAGTAAATTCAGGGTATGTAAAGGTAAGTCTAAACCCGAATCACACGTGTCATCTGGGCCGCTCTCTTTGGGAAGACAATGCAATGCTTTTCTGCACAGCAATCAGTCAGCAAAAAAGCTTTCATCTCCCCATGCAGTGCTGGGGTTTGAACTCAGGGCTGTGTACACACTAGGCATGTACTCTATCACTGAGCAATATTCCAGCCTGAGAAAGCAAAACTACATAGAAAGGGTTTCAGTAACAGTCCTCAGATTTGGATCAGGGGAATAAGGCTATTAAATGCCACATACACACGATATGCCCTTTTTTAAAACCATCATAATTAAAACATTTAAAATAAAAATTTTAGAACCAATCCAAAACTATTATTTTAAATTTGCTCCAATTCTATTTACCACCTAAAAATATTTAACATCCCTCCCTCCACTGTGTACGCAGTATCTATATTAGCCAATATTGCATACATAGTTTACCACAGCAAATGAAAGAGATTAACAAAACACGATCATTGTTTTCATGTTTAAAGACTAAATTCAATGCTCAGGGATTGAATATTAGAATACTAGATAATTTACCAATAAGAAATATGCAGTAAACTAAATTACATGGTCTATAATGACTAATCCTAAGCCAGAAAGGACTCCTTAATCAATAACAACTTTAAGGGCAGGTAGAAAGCCAACACACATTGTGGGTATAACAAGATCTCAGTAAGCCTCGTGCTCAAAATCTGAGGCTCCATCTACATTAGCTAAAGTTCTTGTTGACCCAGGTTTAAAAACCTAAGTCATTTAAGTATGTAGCAAGACTTCTCTTTTAGTATTGCTAGCAACTGATGCTATCAGAAATCAGACCCCAGGATGTTTTAGAGGATACTTGAAGAGTAGCAGTGTTCTATGGTTTAAATGTAAAATGCCCTCCTAAAGGACTAAGATGAGATATATATATGTAACAACTTTTTTTTTTTTGTACCAAGAATCAAACCTTGTGCTTGCCAGGCAGGCGCTTATGCTGCTGAGCTAAATCCCAGCCTATGTAACAACTCTTAAAATGAATATTCATTATGAATTACAAAGCTGTAATAATACAATAAATAAAGGAAGGAAGGAGGGAAGGAAGAGGAGGGAGGCAGGAAGAGAGGATAGAAAGAAGACATTTAGAGTGGAAATAAAAACTCTTTTTAAAGTTTCCCTAAAAGACTCATGTGCTTGGATGTGAGAGGCCTGGTTGGGGGAGGAGGCCACAGCGAGCACTGCCGTTGTCTCACTACTTCCTGGCTGCCATGGGGTGAGGATCTCGCAAGGCCCTTATTGCACACTTCTGCCTTGGAGCCAGACAACCATGCATGGAACCCACCAGAACCTTGAGGCAAATCTCCTTCCCTTCAAGTTATATGTGTTGAGTACAGTATCCCAGGGATAGGAAAGTATCTAATATGTGGTATAAGGAGCTGGACAAAACTCTTTCCCAGAGTGATATTTATTGAACTAGGTAAAAGTAACAGACAATCATTCAAAACCTTTGGAGATTGATCAAAGGACTGACAGCAAATCTATGGACTTCAGTACGAGTAAGAGGAAGAATGTTTCATACTCCTACACCTCTGTGCAGAGAAGACCTTTCCAGAAAACAAAGGAGCCCGAAAGGAGCATTTTTTCCTTCTTATCCAGTTCCTACTTTGTAGGGAAGATAAAGTAGTTTGTGGTTTCCCCACAACTCTGTATTGCAGAACAGCTGCCCTGCTGCAGCAATTCCTACACCTTTCTAGGTTTGTCATTTCATATGTCTGCCTCCAGTGAAATCCAAAGATCAAACCTCAAGAGGCTCTTTGTTTAGGATGACATAGTAATGTTATTCACAGCACCAATAGAAAGGATCATGTGGGGCCACCAGTGATGAGCACATCCCTATTCATACCTTCCCAAGCTCCTCCTGCATGCCCTGTAGGTCACTGACAGGAGAGGATGGGGCAGTGGTACTGGCTCATGCTAAGGTGCCCGACTTTATTTAGATGATACTATGGAATAATTTATATCCTAGAGCACTGTCACAAATAACAAGAGCAATGTGTTACCCAAAAAAGACTTCATGTGGTGTGATAACAATACAGCCACACCAGCCAAACATTTGACAGAAAAACTAGAAAGGACATAGAAAAACCTGCTAAAACCTATGTCCGGAAAGACAGTGTGTCTGCTCAAGCTGCATCTTCTGAAACACAAAGGCCAAAGGACACAGGAGGCTCTGGGCCTGAGCTAAAAATAGGATAAACTCCTCAACTCTCAACCACGAAAGCAGGCTCTAAACCATACAACGCAGTCCAACATAAAGGGTGAAAATATCATTAATTTCAGAAGCTTAGGCACAACCTCCGACCAATGATCAAATCAACCAGCAGAGGTGACAAGCATAATAAACAAAATGAAACTTTATGAGAGGGGCTCTGAGAGGCTAAAGCAAGGAGATCATAAATTCAAACCCAGTCTGGGTAAGTTAGTGATTTACTGAGACCCTGTCTCCAAAAATTTGTTTTGTTTTGTTTTTGTTTCGGAGATCGAACTCATGACCTCACACTTGCCAGGCAGGCACTTATGCCACTGAGCTAAATCCCCAGCTCAAAATTTAATAATAACAATGACCATAATAATAATAAGTGTGTTGGAAATAGAGCTCAGTGCAAAGTTCCTGAGTTTAATCCCCACGATCACACACACACACACACACACACACACACACACACACATAGTGTAACAGAATGTACAAAATGAATATTATTGGCAATACCACAAGTTGAAGAAGACACATAATACAAGCTGTACTCTCAAATACTGTTGGCAAACATCTAAAATGGTACAACTTCTTAGGAGAAAGGTTTGGCATGTTCTTAAAAATATGCTTACTTAATAGCAAAAAAATTTCTTTCTTAGGCGTTACTTTACCTAAGAAACACAAAAACAGACACCTATTTAAGACTCAAAAATGTTCAAAACAGCTTACTCATACATAACATATAAGTAAATAAATAGCACTAAGGAAAAAAAATTCAAATGTCCATCAACAGGAAATTGGTGAAAATACCCAATGGACTACTACTCAACATAAAAAGAACAAAACACTGATATGTACAATATGAAATTTGTGTTCCAGCCTGAGAAAACAAAACTACATAGAAAGGCTATCACATATGTTAAAGGAAAAGAAAACAAAAAGTTGGTAGGTACATGCCTATAATCCCAGCACTTGAGAGGATGAGACAAGAGGATCATTGTGAGATCAAGACCAGCCCTGGTTTACAAAGTGAGCTCAGGCCAAGCCTAAACTGCACAATGAAACGCTGTCTCGAAAAGACAAAAAAAAAAAGAAAAGAAAGAGGGAAAAAAAGCACATACTGTATAAATTCTATCTTATGAAATTTCAGGAGTTACAAAAATCTGAAAAAAAAATCAGAAAAAACCCAGCTGACTGAGGAAACATAGGGTGACACCATTTGAGAACAGCACCAAAGGAACTGGTTAGAGTGATAAAAATGTTCTATATCTCAACAAGGAGATGGGTTGTATGGGTGTATTCATTTTATAAAACTCATTGAATAATATACCTAAGATTTATGCATTTCACTTTGTAAATTCCACCTTAAAAATATGAAATTGGGGCTGCAGATGTGGCTAGGTAGAATGTTTCTTTTTTCTTTCTTTTTGAGACAAGGCTTCACTGTGCAGTTCAGAACTGTCTAGAACTCACTTTGTAGCGCAGGCTGGACTTGAACTCAGCAATCTTCCCTCAGCCTCCCAACTGCTGGAACTACAGGCATGTGTTAGCGTGCCTGGCTGTGCAGTGTTCCTGTACCATATACAAGGTCATGAGCTCAATTTGCACAGGGGTTGGGGGGGCCTATTTCAGCTATATGGCAAGCTGAGGTGGGAGGACTGCTTAAGACCCGCTGATGAAAGCCAGCGTGGGTTTAGAAAAGCTAGGTGCACAATCTCATAACAGAAGTAGACCAGATAAAGCCCTACACGCCTTTAATACTCTGTAATAGTTTTTGGAGTATATTTGGTTTTGATATTACTTAATGAAAACCTGTCAAATTTACTTTATGTAGTATTTTAGTAAAAGAAAACTGCAATTGGGTATATTAATAGAATCAAAATTCTAACACATAAGACTGCAATCTATTTGGTGCAAGAAGTATTTTTTATAGTTAAGTATATTTATAGATAAGTGTATTACAATCATGGCCAAGATAAACCAATCTGAATCTAGTAATCAGAATTTATAAACAGATAAAACCAATGAGATGGCATACTCTAGTATTAGTCTCACTGCACATAAGGTATAGTTTCTACTCAGATATTCTTTGGGGAAGAAACAGATTATTCTACAAGAGGAAAGCAAAGTTGGCATGTGGTAAATTGATCTGTGTTCTACAATGCCATACAAAGACAGGAAAAAAGCAAAAATTTAAAGACAGAGAAACTTCAAAAGACTCTGAAAGACATAAGGCTTTTTATTTTACTTTTTACTCTAGAGGAAAAAAGGTTAATGTTTTACTAATATAGCACAGAAGGACAAGGTTCACCTTAATCTCTTTCTTTACCAGTAAAAGGAATTCTGACACTTAAAACTGCAATCTATCCAGTGCAGGCAGCACAGGAACATTATATACTCTCCCTGCAAACAACTGTGTTAAAGGGTAACAGAATACAAAAATTCTTTATCCTTACTTTCCTATTCCTGGGTTAGGCATATGGTAAACACTAAATGGATACTGGATGAACTACTGAAGACCTAAAAAATTGAAGAGCCATTCCATGTATTTAGACAGGGAGCCTCAAGGCTATCATAATGTTAGTTTGTTCCTACTTGATCTACTGGGTTAAACATAAGCCATGCAAGTTATCTTAAGTGGATTTCAACAGCCTGGTTCTAAAACTTTATGGAAAGCGAAACGACCCAGAAAGCCAAAACAATGCTGAAACGGAAACTAAAGAAACTGATCCTACCTGACTTCAAGAATTATTATAAAATTCCAATACTTAAGAGTTTTGTGCTGGTAGAAGAACAGACAAATCAATTAATGGAATCTCGAACACAGAGCCCAGAAAAAGAATCATACAAATACAGTCAACTTAACTTTGACAAAGGAATAAAAGCATTTTAATAAAAAAAAAGTTTTTAAAAAAAATGTTTTAAACAAATGGTATTGAAACAAGTACTATATAAGACATCCAACTACTACATAAGATAACACATGAGAAAATCCAGATGCTAGATATGGCAATGATTTGGGTTTTTTTTTTTTGGTCTTTTTGAGACGGGGTCTTACTATGCAGTTCAGGCTGGCCTTGAGCTCACTTTGTAGCCCAGGCTGGTCTCGAATTCGCAATAATCCTCCCACTTCAGTCTCCTGAGTGCTGGGATTACAGGTGTGAGCCACCACACCCCCGGCAATGAATTTTTAGATATAACACTAAAGGCAAGGTCTGTGAAAGAAATCATTAATTAGTTAAATTTCATTAAAATTCAAAATTTCTCTCTGCAAAAGACATTCTCCAGATTTACGAAACATATTTTTGATAAAAGATTGCTGTCTAAAATACACAGAGAATGTTTTAAACTCAACAAAATGAAAACAACACAATTAAAAAGATCTGAACAGTTGGGCATGGTGGCATACGCCTGTAATCCCAGCACTCAGAAAGCTGAGGCCAAGATCACTGCAATTTTGAGGCCAGCCTGGGCTATATGAGTTGAAGGCCAGCCTAAACTGCGTAATAGGAGCCTGTCTCAAAAAGACAAAATAGGAGCTGGGGATTTAGCTCAGCAGCATAAGCGCCTGCCTTACAAGCAGGCAGTCGTGAGTTCGATCCCTGGTATGGATAAAAAGGAAAAAGAAAAAAAAAAAAAAAAAGACAAAATAAATAGATAAGTAAAGAAAAGACCTAAACATATTTGAACAAAGATGGATTTAAGGAAGCAAATAAATACAAAAACATAACATTTGATGATATCAGAGAACTACAAATTGAAACTCATCAACTGTAAGAAAAATACTCCACAAATAAAAGATGCTGGTAAAAGGGGAAACTGTGCCTGTGGAGGTTACTATGCGTACCTAGTAGAATGGCCAAAGTCCAAGACACCAATGCCACCAAACACTGATAAGGATGTGAAAGTACAGGTAGTCTCAGAGTCAGTCACTGCTGGTTAGAAGGCAAAATAGTACAGTAACTCTGGATGGCAGTTAGCCCCCTGCCCATGGGGACTGAACCACCGAGGACATGAATGCAGGCAAGTGCTCTCCCACTGAACTATAGCCCCAGACCTTTCTAATTCTTTATTTTCTGTTGGGGTCTTTCTAAGTCATCCAAGATGGCCTAGAGCAGTGATGGCAAACCATTTAGAAATGAGTTATTGCAAAGTGCCAACACTGCAATTTTAAAAAATTGAGATTTTAGTTTAGGAAAAAGTAATGCATGTATTAATACCTGTTGTCCCTTATTTATGTATTTATTTATTGGTCCTTTTTGAGACAGACTCACTATGCAGGTCAGACTGGCCTTGGACTCACTTTGTAACTCATGGCAATCCTAATGTCTCAGCTTTCTGCCTCCTGAATGCTGGCACTACAGGAGTGCACCACCATGCCCAGCTATATTATCTGTCTTAAAAAGAAAAGCATATAACATGCATGCCATTGGTTCACGATCACTGGCCAAGAACTTAAAATCCTCCCGCCTCCACCTCCCAAGTAGCTAGAATTATCCCCACTACCACGAGCAGCTAGTTTCTAAACAAAATTAAATATACTACTTATTACCTTATGGTCAGCAATGAGTTGAAAAGCCACGTACACATCAAAACCTGCACACCAATATATATTGCAGCTTTATTCGTAATAGACAAAAAGATGAAAAACAGTATGTCCTTAACACTTGAAGGAATAAACAAATCCCATGTAATGGAATGCTATTCACTGATGAAAAGAAGTGAAAGCCAGGCATGGTGGCACCTGCCTGTAGTTCCAGCACTCAGGCGGCTGAAGCAGGAAGGAGGATTGCTGGAGTTTGAGGCCAGCCTGGGCTGCATAGTAGTAAGTTCAAGGACAGCCTGAAAAAACCAAAAAACCGAACCAAAACAATTGATAAAAAGAAATGTGCTATCATGTTACAAAAACATACAGAGGAATCTTAAATATATGGCTTGAAGAGAAATAAAACAATCTTAAAAAGTTACATATTATGTTGATTCCAAATATATGACATTCTGGAAAAAGTTAAACTACAGAAACAGTACAAAGATTAGTAGATGCCAAGGTTTTGTTGGAAGGGAAGTAGGGATGAATAAGTGGCATGGAGTCAATATTTAACGCAGTAGAATTACTCTATAGGAGGCCAGAGATACAGCGCAGTGGCACAGCAGCTGCCTGGCAAGTACGAGGTCATGAGTTTGATTCCTGGTACAAAAAAATTACCCTGTATGATACTGTTAGTTGTGGACAGATGTCAATCACACATTTGTCAAAGGTTATAACATATACAACACAATGAATAATCCCATTAATATATTACCATAGGCTCATCAATCGTAATAAAAATATTCCACATATATTAATAGGGGAAACTGTGCCTATGGAGGCTAGAGAGGATAAATGTGAACTTTAGTATATTTTTCCATAAACCTCCTTTCTCTGAAGGAGCCTGTAAATTAAAGCTAGGTATGGTGGTGCATACCTGTAAACCCAGCACTCTGAGAGGCTGAGGCAGGAGGATCACAAATTTGAGCTCAGTTTGGAAAATTCGACGACTTTGAGAAACCGTGTCTCAAAATACATAATAAAAAGCCAAGTGTGGTATACATGCCCATACTCCCAGCACTTGGGAAGCTAAGGCAAGAGGATCACCGTGAGTTTGAGGCCAACCTGGCCTATACAATAAGTTCAAGGCCAGACTGAAATACATTGTGAGACCTTATCTCAAAAAAACTAAACAAAATAATAAATAAATAAATAGTAAAATAAAACAAAATAAATAAAAATAAGGGCTGAAGGTATAGCTCAGTACAAAGGCCCTGGGTTGAATTCACAGTATCTATGTGACACCCACCCCCCCGCAAAGAAAAGATGCTATAAATTAAATTTTTATGTAAAACTTATTAATAAACTTCTTACCAGGTCTAATGAAGACATTTTCCACAGACAACATTGCTGCTATTGGAAGCAGTAGATCTTCACAATCTAAAGATGCAGCCTTGATTACTGCACATGTCAGGTGCGGAGGGAGAGGAAACTCTACCATAGATAAACCCATTCTGGTTACATGGCCACACCTATTAGAAAGAAAAACTTCTTAGCTGAGGAAATAAATGCCATGTTCATCATTCAAAATAAATCATATATTTAGGTTATCCTAAGTAGCCTCCAGAAATTCAATTCAAGGAAATAAAACATTGTGGCCACTGACAAGGGAAGCATAAAGATACACACTTTCTATTGCCAATAGCCTTAATAGTACACCCACGAAAACTAAATGGTAAGGCAGAAGACAGTAAGATAATAGATACAAACAAGCTACAGAAGTGTAAAGGCTATCTTTGAAGTTAGGGAACAAAATTATCAATCCTTCCCCCACCACCACAATTATAAGAAGGAGACTCTGGCTCTGTAGTTATATTGATGTATCCAGTATAATGCTTGGCATTGAAATGGTACTCAGAAATTATTTGCTAAATAATAACAATATTAAACAAAAAATGGTTTTATAAGATTGAAGACAAATTCCAATGTCAAGTAAATAATCCAATAAGTCACATCAAAATATTTCCTACTGATGAAAAAAGGTAAACATGTTTAAAAAGAAATCAACTTATGTTGTTTGTCTTTTTAACTTTTTACCTGTCAATTGCATCACACTGGTAAAGTTGTTTAAGAGCTTCTAAAATAAGTCTCTCATTAGGTGGATCCAAATAGGGAAACCTGTGTGTTTAAATGAGATGTAAGATGAGAGCCACTCCCTGAGCATGGCAGGACTTTATGCAGACTGGATAAAAATTTCTGTAAAAAGTTTTATTTTTTTTCTATTTTCTTAATCCTTTTTTTTCCTTTCACACTTGATCAGCATTCAGTAAAAGAGAAGATAATTTTTTCCAAACCACACACATCTTATCCAAGACATGCTTTCGGACTCTGCCTGGAAGGACCACGCTCACTATTTCTCGACACTTACCTTAAATCTGTATCATCCATTACAAGCAGTGCCAAGTCTACTCTCCTCTGCAAGACACAATCTTGCTAACTTAGTTTTTACAAAGAGTGGAGAAACATTAATTGAAAATAGTCAAAACTTGGGGCTGGGAATTTAGCTCAGCAGCATAAGCGCCTGCCTTGCAAGCAGGCAGTCGTGAGTTCGATCCCCGGTACCGATAAAAATGAAAAAGACCAAAAAAAAAAAAAAAAAAAGAAAATAGTCAAAACTCACAAATTTTCAAACAGGACCTCAAACATTTTTTTGAAAGGAAGAGGTATCAGGACTGAGGATGTGGCTCAGTGATAAGGCATTTGTGCAGCATACACAAGGCCCTGGGTTCTACCCTAAACAGCAAAAGTGGGGCCAGAGGAGGTATGTTCAACTAATTTGAACATATTTATGTTTTATATATACATCTATATGTCTGTATGTGTGTATGTATATATTTTCTACTGCACTAATGCACAAGCTACAAACACACCATTTCACTCATAAAATACTTCAGCAAGGTCTCTTGAAGATAAGGACATTCTCTTCTGTTACTATGATACTATAAATGAACATAAGCAAATAATAAAGGATGGACAGAAGGCAAACAAGGGGCTAGTTCTCTTGCAAATGAGGAGTCCAGGAAAGTGAGGGTGAGAGAAGGTAAACAGGGAGAGGGGAAGGTTTAAGTAGAACCAAGATATGCTCTGTAGAAGGACCTAAAAGCCCAATGAACTGTCATAAACATGAGTTAAAAATAATACTAACAACAAAAATGGGAAAAGAGGATATAGAAGCAGAGGGGGGAAAAGTGGGTGGGAAGGTGTGCCCACCTCCAAAGATGAATACTAACATCATGTACTGCAAACATGTACTAATAAAAATAGAAAATTGACCAAAAATAACTACTCACAAAGGACAGCAAAGTAGCATATAACTATGAATATAGTTTTACATATATATATAACTATGTAACTATATATAAAACTATATATGAATATATAACTATATATATATTTACAGTTAAAAATAACAATAATAACTACTATCATCTGCACAGAGTTATTTTCTCCACTTGAAATTTTTGGAGACAAGATCTCACTACATAATTCGGACTGGTCATAAACTTGCTATATAGCCTGGCACAGCCTTGAACTCTCAGCTCTCTCCTACTTCTATATCCAGAATGCTGGGACTATAGGTGAGTGGCACCACGTCCAGTCTCACTTTAAGTCTTGGGAGGAAAAAACATCTAGTCCAATTTCTCAATGTGAAAAAGGTCTAATAAGGACAAAAGTCTATTTTAGCACGACAGTTCTATTTAAGATTAAACAAATAAATAATTCTTAGACTGTTCTGCCAGCTTTCCTGTACCAATAAGTCCTGGTATCTTAAAAAGCAAAAGTCAGCAAACATTTTATATAAAGGGTCAGGTACTTTAAGATTCTTGACCATATATGGTATCTCCCCTAGTTACTAAATACTGCTCCTGGACTGAAAGACGTCACACAAAAATGAATGAGAGAGGCTAATGCAGGAGGATCACAGGTTCAAGCTTAGCCCGGGCAACTCAGCAAGAATCTATCTCAAATTAAAAAATGAGAAAGGGCTGGGATGTAGCTCAGTGCAAAGGCCCTGAGTTCAATCCCCAAAACTATTAGGAAAAAAGAGGGACAGATAGAGAGGCGGGGGAAAGCAGGGCAGAGGCACAGAGGGGCAGAAGGGCAAAAGGGTAGAGAGAGAGAGAAAGAGGGAGAAGGAAAGGCGGGGTGGAGATAGAGATAGAGAGAAGGCTTGGCTGCGTAAACAAAATTTTATTTATAAAAACAGCAAGGCCAAACCACACATTACAACAATTGTGTTAGTGCAATAGTAAACTAGCCAGTTTTCTAAGTATCAGTGCTTATAGATCTAAAAAGCCGCAAATATGTTTCTTCCTTGATTCTAGTAATTACTAATTCTGCTGAACATTCTTTATAAATTCCTTAGTATCTAAGAGACTCAATATATCCAATTACCATCCCATAGAAATACTGTGGTTTGTCTAATTCCTCATAAAATGTGACAATATCCAGCCTGAACTCCAAATGTTCACTATCTATAATGCTATAATTTCCTGTAATCTTGCAGTTTATTAATATTATCAAAGTCTATACCAGTGGGAATAAAAAAAAATTTTTTGTGAGTGAGCCTGGGGATGGAATCCAGAGTGTTATGCAAGCTCTGTATCACTAAGATATACTCCCAGCCCCACGTATGTTTTTAAAAAACAAATCCTAACTGCAAGCTTATATTAAGCTGTGGTGCTCTAATAATTTCAGATTCTTTCCATATGGGTTTAATTACTACACATCTAAAACACAGGATGTACAATATATCCTGACAGATTTATGCCTTGTTCAGTTTTGTCTAAGGTTCTGGCCTGCTGAGATCACTCTAAAATTTTGATCCACACAGACAATTATAAGTCACCACTAAATTCTCTTAAACCCTTTTTTCAGTAAACTTTGCTACAATGTACTAGGAATCAATGTTAAACCTACTGAATAGCTGTTTCCAGAATCTTTACTACTTCCGAAATATGAAAAAAAATATCCAATAATTTGCCTTTGAATATTTTTCTGACAACCTACTCTGCATAATTTAATTTCTAATAGATAACACAGAATGGTTCTGACATTAACACGTTCACGACAGGGCCATGATTGGTAAGTCATGCTGCCTGGCAGCACGCACTATCAGTAGTATACGTATGACTGTCCCATGCATGATCATAGCATAGCCGCTGTACAAACCACTGGATGGGACAGTCAAGCATGTACATCAGTGGCACATGCTGGCAAGAATGCATCAAATCTGGGAATATCTACAATCTCCCCAAAAAACTGATTTACAGTAGTTTTTTCTCATTACTTCCTAACCTATCTTGGTCATCGATTCCTCATCAGACTTATTCTAGACCTTCCAGTTTAAAACTCAGGGGCTGGGGATTTAGCTCAGTGGCATAAGCGCCTGCCTTGCAAGCAGGCAGTCGTGAGTTCGATCCCTGGTACCGATAAAAACGAAAAAGACAAAAAAAAAAAAAAAAAAAAAAAAAAAAAAAAAAAAAAACACCTCATTCTCCAGTATTTATTTACTTAATATTTTTGGTGCTAGGGATCAAACCTAGGACTTTAAATATACAAAGCATGTATTCTGGGCTACATCTTCAGCCAAAATCATTTTTCTTGATAGGGAAACAAAATAATTGAAAAGTGCTGTTTTCTTTCTGCCGTCTATGAATATTTTACCACCTGTCTCAAATCTTGGGTCTACCGTTCCCCATTCTTTATAGAGCCTCTAAGGAGGGAAGACGGAAGTCCCTCCCTACCTACCAGCATTTTAGTTTGGCTTTAGTACACTCTAAGTCTTTTTTTTTTTTTTTTCTTTTCTTTTCTTGGCTTTTTGAAATAGGGTCAGGCTGACGCTGGGTTCACTCTGTAGCCCAAGCTGCTCTCGAATTTGCAAGGATCCTCCTGCCTCAGTCTTCTGAGTGCTGTGATTACAGGAGTGTGCCATCATGCCTGGCGTACATTCTAAATCTTAAGACTTAAAATGACCCAATGTAGATGCTACTGGGTAAATAAAATTAATCTTCACTAATTCTTACTTTTCAAATATATACTGCATTTATGCTTGGCCACATGCTGCCCTGCTCCCTCTACCCTCTGTGAGTATTCTAAGAATTAGTATCAAGCTTACTGTGCCCTTGTTTAAAGAATCTATACATCTTCCTAAATGGAAAAAAACCAATTCTTTAGAACTTTCTTACAGGGGATTTAACCCAGGGACTTAATACTGAGTTACATCCCTTTTTGTACTTTTTGAGACAGGTCTCATTAAGTTGCTCTGGCTGATTTTGAATGTGTAATTCTCCTGCCTCAGTCTCCCAAAGTTCTGGGATTTACAGGAATGTGCTACAATACCTACTGTGACATGATTTTAAAAAGTGGCTTCACCTGAAAGCTTTGCATTTAGCCATTAGGATTTCTTTCAAGGGCTCTTTCCTTCCTTCTCGTTGTTTCTGTTTTGATATCACTTACTGTTGCCGTTAAATTTCATTTATTACATGCTTTCCTCCTCTATGATCACCATTCTTAGACTCTAGTACTAAGAAAACTATCCAAACCATTTTAAAATTGGTTTTCCAAGAGTATATAATATATAGTTAGACCCATCTAGTAATCACTTGCCTTCTCATGAATTTAAGAATGCATGGTTCCCTTCTCTCAAGGTTCCTGACACTTTTACATTTCCAGTCAATTAAGATCAAAGTAAAGAACAAGACAGAGTTCTATATGACTTTCTCTAACATATGAAATTTCAAGCCCTTGCACTATTCTGTCCAATGACAATGCATTCTACAAGTTTAATATCTGACTAATTTGACAGTTGTTCTATTCTTCGCTTTATGTTCTGAACCTTATTTCTCCAGTAAAATCTTAGTGAACACAAAAATCTATTACAGCATTATTACACTATCTGTCATAATATGTAGTGTAATGCTGGCCTTATGAAAGAAACTATATTTTTTAAAAAAGCACTTTCTGGCTGGAATTGGAGTTACTTTATGGCTTTCATTACAAATAAAGAGTGGTTCACTAAGCGATCCAAGCCAACACCAGTATAAGCCCTATAAGAAGTCAAGGTTAAACCAGTAATCAATGTAAGTATCTACTATGGTATAAATTAAAAATACACAGTGTGGGAACTGGGGATTTAGCGCAGCGATGTAAGTGCCTGCCTGCCAAGTGCAAGGTCATGAGTTCAATCCCTGGTACAAACAAACAAACAAAAAATGAAAACAAAGTCCCCCCAAAAAATACACGGTGTGATCTAAACATATAGTAAATATTTACTTTTTTTAAAAAAACTTATTACAGTAAAAGATACATTGCCATTAATCCCTTCAAAATCCTCCCCCTTTCTTAGCACACACTTATCCCATTCTTCTTGCCAGTTTCTGAAGCAGCTCTGGAAGAACTCTTTGTGAGCGTCTCTAGTTCTACTATTGTGGCTATCTTTATAGCTTCATCAATTCAAAATGTTTACCTTTCATTGTCATTTTAACTTTGGTGAAGAACCAAAAGTCATACAGAGCCAGATATGGTGAATAAAGTAGAAATACACAAAGAAATATTTTTATCTGACAGAAATTGCAAAACATTTCATCAACAAGGGAGGATCATAAAATACTATGAGTACTCATACTGAGAAATGTATTTAAAAAAACACACTGCCATTAACTCCCCTCAAAATACTTAAATAGACCCCCTTCACTTCAGACACACTTACTATATCACTATTGGCAGTATCTTTTACTGTAATAAATTTTTTGGTAATTTAAACATTTACTATATCTTTTGAAAACCTCTTATTATCAAAATTTTAGAAATTTTGAAGTCAAGTAGTATTATTAAACTACTTATTAGGAGGCTGAGGCAGAAGGATCATTACAAGTTTAAGACCAGCCTGGGCTACAAAGTGAGCTGAGGCCTGGACTGAAACCCTGCTGCAAAAAAAACAAAAACACAAAAGATTCACATTAACACCATTTACTTCTGGTCCCTATATACTTAAATTACAGCTGTCTTCAGGGTGATAGAAATGTTGTGAAATTACAGTGCTGACAACTGTGTAACACTGTGAATTTACTAAAAACCAGGTGAACTGACTTTGGGGGGTGTACTGGGGATTGAATACAAGGCCTTTGCCCTGAACTGTAGCCTAGTCCTTTTTATTTCTTTTGAAAGAGGACCTCACTAAATCACTTAATTGGCAGGCCATGCTCAAATTAGCAATCCTTCTACCTCAGCCTCCCAGAGTACTGGGATTCAGGCATGCACTACCATGCCCAGCCTCACTGTTTAGACCAGGTTGGCCTCACATTCATGATCTCCTGCCTCATCCTCTCCAAGCGCTAGGATTACAGGCATAGGCTACCACGCTCAGCCTGAACTGTACACTTCCAAATGGCTGCAATGGTCAATTTTATGTTAAGTGAAATGATCTTTTCTGATTTAGTTAAGACTCAACCAACATGAGCCAGGCACAGTGGCACATGCCTGTAATTCCAGCTATTCAGGAAAACGAGGAAGGTGAATCACAAAACTTGGCAAGGCTGGGCAAGTTAGCAAGACCTCTTCACAAAATAAAATTAAAGTGGGTGGGGTGTCAGGATAGCTGAGTGTTGGGCCCTTCCCTGTTATATGGAGGGCCTGGGTTCGATCCCCACTACTGGGGGAGGAGGAGAGGGAGAAAAGGAGGCAACCAACATGAACACTGAACTTGAAAATCAGGTAGCCTAAATTGCCAAGGGCAGATCAGTCATGTATACAAAACAACTTTTGAGGAGTAACTTCCTTCATTCTAACAAATCTGTCTTTTTCTCAAGTTGCACACATACCTTATGACATCATGGATAGCAAGGCACTTTAAGGTCAGAACTACAGATGTCAAACTAGTTCTCTTAATCTCAGGGATTACATGATCAGGCATACATTGGTTCCAAAAATCTTTACTATAGATCCGAAAGCATTTTCCTGAAGAAGTTCTACCAGCTCGGCCACTTCGCTGTAATGCTTCACTCCTATGAAAAGGAAAAACACAATTCCCAAAATGTTTCGAGGCTTTCCCAAGTAATTTACTTCCTAGTCCCAAACAGAAATTATCTTATCAACTGCTGTGTTAACAAAAAGACTTGAGAGACTTACTTTGAAATTGGAACCACCTCCAGGATGTCCAACCCTAATCTGGGGTTGTGATTTAACTGCTTCACAAAGCCCCCATCTACCACGTATCTAAGTAGAATGAAAACAAGTTAAGTTTCTGCGAAGTAAAGGAAGACTAGTTAATTGTTAACATTTCCTTTCCTGACAAATTAACTACCACCTACTACTTTTCTGGTAAACTGCAAAACCTGAAAGTCAAGAAACGAGAACTCTAATATATTTCTGGTAGAAACATAAAATGTTCAGCCAATACAGAAAACAGTTTGGTAGTTCTGAAAAAAGTTAAACACAGAATACCCATATGATCCAGCAATTTATTCCTATATTTACAACCAAAATAAGAAACAAGTGTTCAAATATTTATAGGTAAATATGCTATTCACAAGAGCAAAACGGTAGGAGCCAAATAAATGTTTATTAACAGCTGATAAATTAAGATATATGGAATGTTATGTGACCATAAAATAGAATGATACGTGCTACAAAATGGATATACCTCCAAAACGTTATACAAGTGAAAGAAATCGTCCACAAAAGGCCACATGTTGTATAATTTCATTTATTTGAAATATTCAGAATGGGAATTTCATAGAAACAAAAGTAGACTGGAGGTTGCCAGGGGCTAGGGTGGGGAGAAGACTATAGACTCTTGGCATGGGATTTCACTTGAGGGTCATGAAATATTCAGAACTAAAGTTAATGACCACACAGTACTATAAATGTACTAAGTGCCACTTAATTGCTCACTTTTAAATCAATTTAATTTTGCCTTAATAAAAAACACTTCAAAGGCAGCTCTAAACATCAACAGGTTAAAAATCTAATTTGAAGTAGTCTTTAACATACCATTTTAAACCAACAAAATGGAGAACAAGTGAGGTAAAAAATTACAGAATTAGTGAATTATCATTCACTAAAGATACATTCTGAACCATGCTGTCTCTGTCTTTTTGCCTGTGCTACAAACAAAAAGTACAGTGGTCAATTGGTCATCTTACTCGAGAAAGTTGTTCTCACAATCAATCCCTTTAGAGAAATGTTTTTTAAATTTTTTATCTTTTTTGAGACAGGGTCTCCCACACAGTTCAGATTGGCCTTGAGCTCACTTTGTAGCCCAGGCAGGTCTCAAATTTGGAAGGATCCTCCTGCCTCAAGCGTCCAAATGCTAGGATTATAGGAGTACGCCACCATGCTTGGTGGAGAAACCATTCTTTTTGAAGTCAAGGAGTCGAGGATATCAGACTTCTCTGATATAAGTGATAATTTTACCAGATATAAGTGATCATTTTACCTACAATACATAGAACCCTTAGGGCTTGAGTCCAGTCTTCCCATGGCAGTCAGATTTAGCTGAAGACATAGACATGAGACAAAGTTACTCTACCAAGTGGGGTTGTATGTAGAAGGGAATATCAGATCATTTAAGGGATGTGCTACCAATGATAGCATAGAAAAACTGCGCTGGCTGAAATCCTTGAAGCATTACAGAAAATCTTAAATTTGGAGACAAAGGTTCAAATTGCCAAATAGTTAAAAAAAATAATAAACAGGAATGCAGTATGCACCTTCTACTCCATTTCATGTTCAAAGTAATTAAGAATCGTAAGAATGAAAGGTAAATAAAAAGTAAGTAACAAGGGAGTTAGTGGAGAAGCAAATTCAGTAATATTCTATAATTAGCTAATTGACTTCCTTTGATTTTAAAACTTTTGAAAGTTGTACCTGATCCCATCTATAGTCAAAGATGTCGCAGAAATATTGGTAGATATGACACACTTTCTAATTCCAGGTGGAGGTGGCAAAAATATTCTCCTCTGTTGATCTAAAATATATGTAAAAATAAATTTACAACATGTATTTGTCAAAGTCAAGTTGTAAAGAACTCATTGCTTTTCATTAAAATTTTCATCCCTTTTTAATGACCTTGAATACAAAACAAAAGCAAAAGATATATTTTCTTTACCTTTTACCAAAGAATCAGATACTAAAATACTAAATAGGGCCAGGGATTTAGCTCAGCATCATAAGCACCTGCCTTGCAAGCGCGAGGTCATGAGTTCGATTCCCGGTACCAAAAAAAAAAAAAGAGAGAGAGAGAGATAAAATACTGAATACTAAATTACTCAGACACTAAATTACTAAAATAATCCCCACAACAGAGTTCTTTATTCTAGATCACAGTTCTATTAGAGATTATTTATAAAACTCCTCTCCAGTAAAAGATACACTACATGCACACACACACACACAAAATAGACAATTTTATGGTATTCAAAGACTCCCTAGAACCTAGCTATGGACTCCAGACTGAGAACTTCTCTCTGTCTTGAGACTAATTAGCTAAAGAGTTCTTAATTTGGGGAGTATCTGCCTAACTAATAACTACCTCTTGAAAAACTTAACACCATACTCATTTCTACTACTAGTACTTAAGGGCCAGCAACAAAGTCTATACTATAGTACCTCGTTCCTTGGACCATAGCTCACAGCGTCAGCAATAAACATTTTCCTCACGCTACACCCATCTAATTCTGGTGAATTCAGAATAAGTTCAAGAGACATCAGACTTAATTAGGTTGCAAAAAGGGAAAATGAATTTGTTAACCATCGGGGAGTAACTAATGTAAATGGAGATGAGAAAGCCTAAAGAAAATAGGATGGCTAGGGATTTAGCTCCATGGCGTAAGCACCTGCCAGGCAAGCGTGAGGTGGTGAGTTCAATCCCTGGTACAAAAAAAGAAAAAAAGAAAAAAAGACAGACAGACAGAGAAGAGGACGAAACAGTCATGAGAGTAGACAAGAGAGTAGATCTAGGTTCCTGGCATTTCCCAGGCCTTAAAAAGCATGACTGTGAAATAAGAAAGATAACCTGGGACAGAATTCCCCTCTATTAGGTGAATCAGAAAACAAATACCGAATAGTTTCCCTAATGTAAGTAATGATTCAAATATATAAAAATATGTGGTAATCATGATTTCCCATTATGTGGCCTTGAAGCCTTATAAAATTTTCACTTATTAATTAGAAAGGCTTTATTCTGGGCTTCTTGATATGGAAATATTTGAAGCTATAGTATATGAAGTTTTATCCAAATATTTCAAGGAAAAAGACAGACACTATGGTAACTACTATTAAATCGGGTTATCTGGTGGTGAAGCACTAGGTTGCTGAAACAGTCATGCTTTGACCTCTATTGTTATATTGTTATGTCCTGTTTTAACTCAATCTCTCCCTTATTCTTTAAAAAAATTATTTAGTTATTTCTTATGTTTGTTTTAATTAAGGGGAAAAATTAAAAAAATTAGGATATATAATAGTAACTCTTTTTGATTTCCTATTAACTTGTTTTGAAGTCCTGTAATACTCCCACGATCTTCTTTTGACTGATTAGACTCTGTTCCATTCTGTGCGATAGTATCAAGTTTGAGGGTATAGGCAACTACTTTGAAGGCAATAAGATTCACTAAGATGCCCATTCTGGTTTGACTATTGTCTCCTTTGGAAGTCCTGTAATGTTTACAATGCCTAAGTTTTATTGGTCTTGTTCTCTACTGTTTTGTCCAACTTTATAATATCTAATGAGATAGACATTTCTTTTTAAGGAAACAAGAGACATCGTTGATAACCATTGTTGATAACCTTGTACTCTGTTCCACATCATGTGCTATGTCTATCCTTGGTTTTGACTGACAGCTTTGTTTTGCCATATTTGACTTTATTCTCTCCCCCCCCAAAAAAAGTAATAAGAACTAAGGAGTAATAAAATCCAAAATGTATAAATTTTGTTGTAAAAAAAAAGAGCTCTAACGGATATAACAGCAAGTGTGTTTAGGGGTGTTAAATAGCTGACTATATTAATGTTTTTGGATCATTGAACACAGCTGTTTGCAGTCTCTCTGTTTGAATGTCCACTTTGTATTCTTTGATACTGTGATTTGAGCAACTATTTCCAAGATGATAATATGTAATCTATTAACAGGTGATTTCTTACTGCTATGTTTTTTTTCTTTGTAGTTCTGTATTATGTGTACCCTTACACTGCTTTGTTTTGTTTTGTGTTTTTCTCTTTTTCCTCTTAAATAAAATTAAAAAAAAAAAAAAAGAAAACAGGGCAAGAGAGTTAGGAATGTCAACAAAGAAATCACAACATGAGGGAAAGGAGGTAAGTGGAAGTTGGTAAAGGTTAAGTCTAATTGTGTTCTGAAAGTTGTTGAATTAGGAACAACAGAGTGAGTTTGCAGACACAAGAAAACATCAGAGAGTGGATGCTTAGAATTGAGATTTCACAAGTGACTGTAATGAAAAATTTTACAATGTAAGTATCTAAATGGGTGGCTAAGTTGGGATGAAGAAAAGGATCAAGAAACTTCAAAGAAAGACAGACAGATCATCTATGTCAATCATCTAAAACTCAAGAGTAATCTTTCAGAAAGGACGCAACCAAACTATCGGAATTTGAAAAGAAATTCTTAGTATTACATTTTCCATACAATCCATTGAAATACTTTATGTTTACTATCATACATTATAAAGTGCTACAGCAATACAGGCATATATTTCAAAAAGAAATATTTTTTAAATGACTACCATTTGATTTTCAGAAAAGCAGCAGCCAACAAAACACTAAAAAGTAAAGAATTGTTTCCAAGTAAAATACTGTAAAGATCATGTATCCTCAATAGTAAACAGACCAAAGTTAATCTATTACAAAGGAGAAAAGGAGTGGCACAGATGAACATGATTTTAAAATCATAAAACTAGGCCAACCATTTCATTTTATAGATGAGAAAACTAAAGCCCAGAGAGATCAAGTAATCGACTGGTAAATTTACATGATGTTATAGAATGTTGCTATTCCTCCACATCTTTCCAAAATTAATTTCTCAAGTTAAAAAGTGTTCAACTTAAGATAACTGGCAGGGCACAGTGGTACATGCCTATAGTCCCAGCTATTCAGGATGCTGAGGAAGGAGGATCTCTTAAGAGTTCAAAGACAGCCTAGGCAACACAAAACCTCATCTTTACAAAGAAGAAAAGAGGTGTAGAGAAGTCTTGATATAAACCCAAATACAATGCCAAAAACTTCAATTTCTTTCAGATTCGAAGAGTCTGATAAAAATTATTTTAAGTTTCTAGGTGTTTCTAGTTGGGTGTGGTGGCAAATGCCTATAACCTCTCAGCCAGTTCAGGAGGTTGAAGCAACAGGATCCCTTAGAGTTCAAGACCCGCCTGGGCTACACAGTGAGCTCAAGCTAGTCAGAACTATGTAGCAAGACTGTCTCAAAGGGGAAAAAAAAAGTTTTTCAAATATTTCTTAGTTACAGGTAGTGATAACTTGGATGAATAATTCAAATTACATGTTTATACATTTACTAATTACATATCTACTCTGCTATACTGTACCTTCACCAGAACAAGGGTTTCCTTCTAATTCTAGGTAGATTTTCAGTACCTAGACCAATGCCTGGCTCTTATTAATGCTCACTAAATAGTTGAACAAATTGGTAAGTTAAAATGCATTATATAAATTAGAAATATCTTTTCTGTACATATTTGTCCACAATCAAGTCTCTTTTTCAATGAATCCATTTGTTTGTTTGTTTGAGACAGGATTTCACTACATAGTTAAGGCTAGTTTGGAGCTCTATTATAACCCAAACTGGATTTGAACTCACAGGTGATCCTTTTGCCTTAGCCTCCTGAGTGTGGGGATTACAGGTATATGCCAAAACACCCAGCTCAATGAACCTGTTTCTAAAGGTCCCTAATTTTTTTAAAAGCTTCAGTTCAAGCAAAATTCCTGATGCATTTACCATTTTCTTCAACATAATCAAAGTTCTGGAACTACAGTCTTAACAAGACTTGTATTTATTTCATACTTTACTTTTCATTTACCCACTTTACCACCATATTTCAATTACAAACATGTGCCACTTTTGTTTGTTTATAAAGGGTTGGAAAAGAGTCACTTACGTTCCTAAAGCCAGTGTTCATGCTGTAGGAGTGAGGGATGAGGCTATGGGTCTTTTTGTTTGTTTTGCTTTGGACTGGGAATCCAACTCATGACCTCACTTTGCAGGCAGGCGTGTGTGCCACTGAGCTAAATCCCCAGCCTGAAGCTCGTTGTTTTTGTTAAAAGACATCAGTTCTGCTCCTTACCTCCATTCCCTGGTTTTCCCTATCTATGAAAGATTCTAAAATGCCATCCTCACCTATCCCAGCACTTGGATGCTATTAAAGTGGGGGAAAATTGACAGAGGAGCAGAAAAATGTTCCAAAGTTTACCATGAAATAAACATATTTAAGAGGGCTGGGGATTTAGCTCAGCGATATAAGCGCCTGCCTGGCAAGTATGAGGTCATGAGTTCAAGCTCTGGTACCACCAAAAAAAAAAAAAAATTAAAGAAAGACCGTAAAATGCTCTCAACAGAATAAAGTTCCTGAGACAGATGGACTGTATATGACAAGTGGTACGGGCAACTAAAATTTCTCATAGAATTTGTCACAAATACCACCCAAAAAAGTGCAAAGCACAAATATATTTGTGCAGGAGTGTGTGATATGTAAATAAAGGGAACATAATCAGTAAACTTCAAAACCTTTCAAAGACACACACAAAAAAATATAAACCTGGAGAAGAACAAAGAGTTAGAACCCGAATTAGCTTCAACTCTGCCCCATCTCAAGAAGCCATTTGGGTTACACAAAAGTGCCAGGCAAACTGTCAGGAACACGACTTGAAAAATTCCTGAAATAAAGTGTTGATGTAAGTAAATATACTTGAAAAAGACAAATGAAGTGAAAGAAAACTAAAAAATACGGAACACATAGATTCTCCAACATAAGAATAACTAGCATCCCTGAAACAGAAAGACCAACAAACAAGACACCACTAAATTAAAAAACACAACACAAGAAACTTTCCCTGAAACAAAGAATTGAATTTGCAGATAAAAAGAGCACATCAGAAATGCTTCCCATCAGGTTTGTGGTGATGATGATTAGACAGGTAATACATATCCTGTAAAAACTCAAGAAATTACATAATTATAATAATCATTTTATTTGTAAATTAGACTTCAGTAAAATTTATAAAAATAAACATATCAGACTCTGTAAAATTTTAACATGAAACACTCACACCAAAACCATCCTAATTACAACTACCAGACTTTGAGGATTTTAAAACTAGAAATTTTTAAGTAATCAAACAGAAAAAATCAAGTCATTTATAAGGCAGGGCAAAAAATCAGTTTACCCTAAGACTCAGCTGCAGCCACAGTCAATGCCAGAAGACAATAGGACAATGCCTATCGAGTTTGAAGGAAAAGTGTGAACCAAGAAGATAAAACTAGGTCAAGATGTAGTTTAAGTTTATTTTACAGGCAAAAGCCTTACTTTCAAACATATAAAACTGATGGTGACCCCTGCACATAAATGAACAACATGAGATCAACAAAAATCAGAAGGGGAAGATAGAAAAGAGTAAAAGACAGAAGGCCTCATCACTGGAAAACAACTAGCAATTTCTCCACCTACTCTTCACTCTATGTATTCACACACATGCATGCATCTGAATAATCCTTTTACTGTATTAAAAATGGTTTATTACTGCGTAGAACAACTTAAGAAAGCTTTTACCTTTGTAATTTTCTATACTCATCGAATCATTTATAGTAAAACAGCATTTTTTTTCCCTCAACTGAGTAATTTTTCTTAAAGACAACTGGAGCAAATTTGCTGAGACAAAGTGTTAATTCTGCACAGTGGGAAATATTTTGCAATTTTCTACAATTTTTAAATTTCTTTTCTTTTTCTTTCTTCCTTTCTTCTTTTTATTTTTTGGTCTTTTGAGACAGGGGCTCACTATGCAGTTCAGGCTGGCTTTGAACTCTTGGCAATTCTTCCGTCTCAGTCTCTGGGTTACACCACCATGCCAGGCAAAATGTTCCTTTAATACAGGCAGCCATTCACATGGCTAGTGTAGGACAAAAGCAAATATAAAATAGCCATGTCCTAAGTTTTACCTGCTCACTAAACCCTGCTGTGGGTCACAGTTGGATCACCAGGCAACAAGCAAGAAACCTTTTTCCCTTGCTTCACTCCCAAGTGCAAGTTTTATGAACCATAGGCCTAACAAGGAATGTTATAAAAGTCTCTCATCACCCAAATACAGAAAAATAAATGCCGTGCTATACTAGCCAGGTTATAAAGAAAGCCTGCCACTCTCCGTACTTCATCCAACTCCACCTCACCCGTTATTCGTACTGCTCCTGAGCTCCCTCTTTAAACTGCTACAGTTTATATTATATTATTATACTCCGTAACAGAGCACTAGTAGCTAACCTTTGAAATCTGAAGGGAAACTAAAATTAACAGAACTGTAACAGCTCTACACACATCCAGTCGCACATCTTTACTAATTTTACATACAGGCCAACAAAGAAAATCATATACAATGAAGAAATAAGGGTGAAAGCAAGTTGTAGTCATGCTGGAAGGATAATGAATGCCAGGATATTAGACTGCCATTTTAATCCAGGTGGAAGTAGGGAATGACTGCCAGAGGACTAACAATATCACTGCTATACTTTTGGAAGATTATGTTTATCACTGCAGTAGGTCAGTACATTAAACTAGGGAAAATGAGTTAGCAGGTCATGTAAACAACTAAGATCCCAAGTCTAGCAGTGGATGAAGTAAGAAATGATCTGAACAAAACAAAGGTAAAGTAACATCTATCAGAGTTTTCACTTGTTTGGATTGAATGATCTAGAATGATATGACACAGGACTTTCAGGGTCGAGGAGGTTTAGGGCACAGAAGTGACACAGAATTAAAGACAGATCTCAGGAATCGCTTTTAGAAGTGACAAGTGAGTCCCAAAAACCAACTTCTCCAAAGACAAAGCCTCTAAAGATGAAAAAGTCTCATTTACAGGGAATGAAACTGGGGAAGAGGAAAGGCTGCTACAGCCTTAGAAAAAGACCAGGCAGAAGAACCAGATAATTTAATTATTATCCCTGAAGACAGCACTTCCAGAGGATACCATGATTCCTTTCATGAAACAAAAAAATTTTTTTAAATGGAAAAGCCATGCAAATTGAGAAACAGATGTCACTAATAACCTTTAACATTGTAAAAAGCAGATGTCAAGAAGTCAAAAGAGGCAATAGCACAAACAGAATATTATTTTCAGTGTGGCAGTAAGAAAAATGAACAGAATAATACATATACTTATTTAATTAACAGTTAATAATGAAGTGACCATCATGAGTTTATAATTTATTAGTTATAAAACTATGAGTCAGCAGAACAAATTTCCAGAAATTATCTGGAGGGAGGTAGGTTTAAGACAAGGTCTCACTGTGTAGTGCAGGCTGGCCTTGAGCTAACTTATGTAGCTCAAACTCATGGTGATCTTCCTACCTCAGCCTCTTGAATGCTGGTTTATAAGCATGTGCCACCATGCCCACTAAGAACCTCAAATATCCAGTAATAACCCTAAGAATTTCCACGAAGATATAAAACCCTAATATAGAGATCTGTGTTTCAATATTGAGAGAAAAGTGCCTAAGATCACAAAAGAGATTTCTAAACCAAGCATGGTGGCACATGCCTGTAACCCCAGCACTCAGGAGGCAGAGGCAGGATAATCATCAGGAGATCAGACCAGCATGGGCTATATGATGAGTTCAAGGCCAGCCCAAATTACATAGTGAGACATACTCTTTCATAAAACCAAACCAAACCAAACCAAAAAGAAAACAAAAAATCTGAGACTGACTTTCAAAATAGCACATAGTCTGTTTCTCAACCAACACACATATTCTGAAACATGTTTTAATACTATAAAAAGAATCATTTACTCAACAAAATCAGTCATGTACATTAAATATGAAAACATTTAAATTTTAATCTTAATCAAACTCTAACAACCTAAGTTTAATCTTCTTTTAATAAATCATATTCTATAATAAAAGTTTTACCAAATTTTCTCATTCAACAATATTTATGACCAAATATCAGAACAAGAGTTTGCATTGCTCTTCAAATTCTCAACAAATATAAACAATAAAACAACCATGATCATGCAAGAAAAGCAGACTAATATAAGTTTGCTTCAAAAGGAAAACAATCCATTGTGTCTATATATATCTGAACACAGTATATGATTTCTAGAAATTCTGAGGCAGTGACAAATTAAATGTGAGTTACAGTATTACTATCAAGAAATTCACTGTTGCCTCCATTCAGGAACTTAATTCTTTCCACAATTCTGAATTGGACAAAAAAAAAAAAAAAATCAATAATTTGGCTCACTGTTGACCTTATGGGGAAATTTGATGCGGTTCTCATCCAATTTGAATTGCAACCAGAATCACAGAAAGAGCATGGCTCATGAAATGAAACACCCCTGTATGTCCCTGTTTCAAAGAATCGCCCCCAATATTTTTGTTTGGCTGAGACAGTACAGAGCCAACTATGAACACTATGAGGGACATAGAATACTCTTGGAAAAGTTCAGATGAAAAGATTCAAGTAAAAAAAAGTCACTTCTCTCAAGGAATGATGGTCTTTTTGGTGATCCACTTCATGATTAGGGTGTTACAAAAGTGAGGTTATATGGCAAAATGTATTGACCTGAACACTATATACATGATATAATTCAATAAAACATTTTTTTAAAAAGTCATTATTTTTTTGTCTTAATGAGGAATTACCTGTTGTCATAGATCCATAACAGGGCAATATCAACAAGCCATCTAGAGTGGTATCTTGAACATCATAATCATAATCAACAGACTCTGCCATTTGAAAAAGTAACTCACAACATTTTTCAATTTCAAACTGGCCTGAAATGGGAAAGAAAAAAATTTCAACAACTGAACAGCAAAGTAATTTCAGAATACAAGTCCAGATTAAAATTACTTTGGTTTAGCCATTATTTTAAATCTCTTATTTCAACTGAGAGACTTGTTGTACCAAAACCCCACAATAAAACTGAAGAGCAGAAACACTATTTTCCTAGGAAGTTAAATTTTTAAAAGAATAAAAATGTTTATCATCATCATGTTCTTTTTTTTGAGACAGGCTAGCCTTGAACTCAAAGCAGTTCTCCTGCCTCAGCCTTTCAGTGCTAGGATTATAGGTGTGCACCACCATGCCTGGCATCTTCACACTGTTCACCTTAACAAACAATTTGAGGAAGACTCACTAAATTGTTCACACAGGATAAACTAAAAAGGGAGATGCTGAATATAAGTATTGTTATAGTACAGTTCTAAACTGTCCCCCAAAAGTCTCATGTTTGGAGATGGGACCTGGTTGAAAGGGGAGTGTGTCACTGGGAACAGGACCTCAAAGTATATACTGTTGGTCTGGCTCCTCCTCCTCCTTGCTAAGCTTCCTGGCCACTGTGCAGAGAACAGCTTTCCTCCACCATGCCATAATACACTTCTCCTCTTCTAAAATACAGATATTGGATATTTTGTTCCAGGAACAGGAAAATACTAATATAGAAAAGCAGTGCCAGGGGTGAGATCAAGGCTGTGAATGTCCTTGATCATGTGATTTAGAAGATTTTGGAATAAGTTTACAGAAGCATTTTGGAAAGGTCTAACGATGTAGGCTACAGAAGCCCTAGAATGTTGTAAGCAGTGCTTGACTGCAATAGTGGTCAGAGCTCAGACCAGAGGCTGATAGGAATGTAGAAAATAAAAGAGAGGCTTGGGAGGTTTCAGTTGGAAACACAGAATCCACTAGCAGTTGGAATGTAGTCCAGATGGCAGAATATTTGTCTATATTTTCCCCAAATTCTGAGACTCAGAGAATGACATTAAGGTCAGCAGACTAAATAATACAGAGAAGGAAATTTAAAGGCAGCCCAACAGTTTGAGCTGTTGCATGAGTACTGCTGGCTGCTTTCACTCTTATCTACATTGAAAATCAGAAGCAAAAAAGCAGAGCTAAATGATTTGAAAGTTTATAGTTTTGCCAGAAAGAAAGCAGATGCAAAGTTAGGACAAAGCACAGCATGGAGCAGAAAAGATTACCATGAAAAATGAGTCAAGTACTTATATTGTCTTGCATCAAGACAATATGAAAAGCCAGGCTGTAACCCCAGTACTAGAGAGGCTGAAACAGGAGGATTGTTGTGAATTTGAGGCCAGCATGGGCAATAAAATGAGGTCCGTCTAAACTACATAGAAGACCTTATCTCAAAAAACAAAACAAAAACAGGAAAGATGCTTTGAGGGTATCTCAGAAATCAGCAATACCTCACCTAACCACACACTCTAAGGTGCAAAACTTAATCTTTCTTTGGAGAATTCATAGGATGCCTATTCAAAAAGGGTCTCCTAGGGAATTGGTTCCCTGGGATTCATTTCATTGTGCTCAGCCACTAAGCACTCAAGAGTCCTCTGCAGCCATGGTCCCAGAGAGTCCAGTTACAATGTGACAGATCCTGGCATAGAACATGTGGTATTGTTTTTTCAGGCACACAGAATATAAGAGTTTTGGGGTCACAAAGGGTTTCAAATAGATTTCCTAAGATCTGGAAAGCCAGGCAAGAATGTTTGACAGGGTCATAGTCCCTGCCAGGTGACCCTGAGAGGGTGACTGGTGAAGCAGTGAGAGTGAAGCCAAAGCTACAGTGGAGAGCTAAGAAGCTGGAAATGCTAGGAACGTAGGCTGTCTGATTATGAGTCACAGGTACAGGCAAGGAAAAAATACCTTACCACTTAATTTCTTTGTCCTAAAGGGGCCAGTGTATTTTATATGTATTTACTAACATTCTATATGTATTTACTGATAGATATGTATTTACTGATATGTATTTACTTTTTCTCTTTTCTTTTTACTTTCTTTTTTTCTTAAGTTTTTTTGAGACAGGGTCTCACTATGCAGAGCTCAGGCTGGCCTTGAACACACAGCAATCCTCCTACCTCAGCCCTGAAAGTGCTGGGATTACAGGTGTTCACTATCACATCCAGCCTGACATCTTTTATCTAAAATTATTCAGATAATCATAAAAAGGGCAACAGATGAGGAGAACTCAGATGGCCCAACAGAGGTTAAGACTCTATTCTAGTGGCACATCACCAACTTACAAAGAGTAGATATCAGCTGGGCATGGTGGCTCATACCTCTAGCCCCAGCTACTCAGAGAACTAAGGCAGAAGGATCACCTAAGCCCAAGAGTTCAACACTAGCTTGGGCAACATAGTGAGACCTGTCTCAAAACTAAAAATCCACAAATACTAAACATTTTAAAACCTGGTATGAGATGCTCACCAGTCAAAAAAACCAAGATGTCTCCAGCCATTTCATTCAAATGGATGTCCATGGTCACTTTCACAACCTAAAGGCAGGAAACACAACCAAGATATGTGAATGGAAATATAGCAATTCTCGTACTTCCCTTTGGTCTTGAGAAAAATTACATTTGGTTCTCAAAAGCACTGGAACTGACAAAAACTAAAACAGTAGAGAACAAATGAATTTGGCAAATTACCCAATTAACAAGAATCAAACAGATACAAGAGACATAAAAAAGATGGCAAGTAATACCGCTTGAATATATGCAGTATTTTCTCTGTCTCGTGGGCCAATCAAATTGCAGAATTTCTCTCTAACTGGATAAAGTCTTCCAGGTATATCAAATATTGGGCAATTTCCAAAGAATGCAGAGAGCTTGGCTAATTCCATAGTTGCTGACATTACCACCACCTTCAAATGCTCCTTCCTATTAGGAGACTTCTCCTGAAATAGCTTCTTCAATAAGCCAAATAAGATGTCCTGAAAGAAAAGTAAATTCTAGTAAGACACAAGTGTGTCTATCACCTAACCTATTTTAAATACATGACTATCCTAACCGAGGAATGCCTACTTCAGCAGACAAAATATAAGTAAGAGGAAGAAATTCTCAATCTCCTAAAAGCTACCCCAAACAAGTAAAAATTTGTTAATTAAAAAAAATACTTTAAAATACTCACTGTAGTTAAAGTTCTCTCATGGGCTTCATCCAAAATAATAACACTGAATTTAGTAAGATTTGGATCTCCCAGAATATGTTTCAGTAAACATCCATCAGTCATATATTTGATTGCTGTTTCCTTATGTTCAAAGCAGAATATATATCAATGTATGGCATCACAAAAATTTACCACTATTTCTTCGATTAAATTTCTTCCCAAAATGCAGATATTAAATGACCAAACCAAAGTGACCAAAACATAAAATAGTCTAATGTAAATAAATTTTGAAACATGTAATCTGTACAGATGAAGAACTAAAGTAGGTACCCTGGGATAAAGCAGCAAAAATCAATAAAGAGATACAAAGAAGTCAGTGGAAAGTGGCATGAAAATGCAATGGCTTCAGGTGAGCAAACTGGAGGAAAGAGTAAGGAAATTGGGTTCATCTCCCTCACTCACTGTTATAGAGAATTAAGGGGAAAAGACAGAAGAAATATGAAGTATGTATATACTTCCTACTCATTCTCTTCTCGCCCCTGCTTGTTCTCGCATTTAAAAAAAAAAAGGTCTCACGTTACAGGATAAAAATAAGGTAAGAATAAGGTTCAAAGACAGCAATGATAGCTTTAAACAAAGGAAGGTAAAAAGGAGCAATGGCAGGAAGGCAAAGAGAACATTTTAGGGAAAGTTAGTCTGTGCCACATTTGATGGCCCTACCTACTAGAAAACATAATTAGGGATTATTTTCTATCAAGCAGAGAGAATGTAAATCACAGTTAATGACAAAAAAGAAAACAATTCTTAACTTGCTAGCACCATGCTCATAAAAGATACCTGAAAAATACTTGCTGACAGGGCTGAGGTATAGCTCAGAGATAGAGTGCTGCCTATGCCTAGTACCACACACAAGAACAGTGAATAGTGACACACACACAACATTGTACTTAATAGCACCGAACTGTACAATTATACATGCTTAAAATGGTAAGCTTTATGTTATGCAAGTGTTACAATAAAAAAGATTTTTTTAAATACAAGGTAACCAACATGTCAATGACATTTATTGCTAAAAATGAGACTAAGAAAAATGAACATAATTGTCACTTATAAACTAAGGAGGAAGAAAATGACAGAAACATCAGATACTTCAAAGCTAAAGAATTAACAATGGGCAAGAAAAAATTAACACTAACCTGAAACTTTGTTTCCTTAAAATATATATATATGTTTGAAGTTTAAAATCTTTCTGAACTTTCTCCACGTTTTCTGTAAGTTACTTAAATACCAACAAAACTTTTATACAGGTGTTGAGCATGTGGCAGACTGCTTGCCTAGCACACATGAAGCCATGGGTTTAATCCCCAGCATCACCAAAAAAGAAAATCTCTTGTACCTTAGAGCTGCAATCATCAAAACGAACTTGGTATCCTACTTCGGATCCCAAAGAGCATTTCATTTCTTCAGCAACCCTCTGAGCAACTGATATGGCAGCTACTTTTCGTGGTTGAGTCACACCAATCATACCGTGCTGTGAAAACCCTATCAAAACCAGAAGTGAAAAACACAAGTTAGCAGCTGCTTCTTCCTCCTACAGCTAAACTGTTTCTAGTCCATTAACAAAAAACCAACTGGATGTTTCCAAAAGATACCCTGCCAATTAACAAGATACTAAATCTTTCCACTTTGGAAATTTAATTACATTAATCTCCAACTTCTGGACATTCAAGGTGCAAACTTTCAGATATCAATAAACCTTGCAGATGCAAACAAATTGCAAAAGTGTCTCACATATCTGCTGGAGTGTCACAGTTGTGCTAGTGTACAGTAGTATAACACAGTCAGGGACTTAGTATATTTGTGTATGTGTTTGGGTTTGTTTAAGCTTTACATTGTATATGTGTGTCAAAAGTGTGTAAGATTCACTTTTTTTTTGCCTTTTTTCTTTTTTATCGGTACGGGGGATCGAACTCATGACCACCTGCTTGCAAGGCAGGTGCTTATGCCGCTGAGCTAAATCCCCAGCCCCATGGATTCACTTTATTGAACTTACACACAAGTTGGACTTACAAATGTTCTCCTGGAAAGGAACTTGTTCATAAATTGAGGACTGACTTATTAAAAATAAGAATACATATTGAAAACTATTCTAAATGTTTAGAATTAGAATGTTTCTGATTATTGAAAGTTTTAGTGGTTTCTTTCTTTCCAACTTTTTTTTGAGTGGGGAATGTCTTTGAGTCAGTTTTGCTATGCAGTTCAAGTTGGTCTTGGACTCACTATGTATCCCAGACTGGGCTCAAACTCAAAGATTCTCCTGCCTCAGCCTCCCAAATGCTAGCATTATAGCTGTGTGCCACCATATGGCGCTTTTTGTTCTGTTTTGGAGACAAGCTCTTACTCTGGAACTCAGAGTAAAATTTATATTAGTAATTACTAATCCTATTGCCTTAGCCTCCCAAGTACTGGAATTAATGCATACACTACAATATCCAGCTTTTTAAATTTTAGGTTTTGTTTGGCTTTTTAAACAGTGTTTTACTATGTTGCCAAGTTGGCCTTGAACTCCTAGGCTCAAGCAATCCGCCTGCCTCAGTCTCCCAAGTATCTGGGACCACAGGTAGGCACAACCACACCTGGCTCAAACTAAGAATTTTTAAACCTACGAATCCATAAAATTGTATATGCTTTCAAAAGTAAATTCAAGGGGCTGGGGATTTAGCTCAGCGGCATAAGCGCCTGCATTGCAAGCAGGCAGTCGTGAGTTCGATCCCTGGTACCAATAAAAACAAAAAAGACCAAAAATAAATAAATAAATAAATTCAATTTTGCCACATAAGTAGATTTCAATACGCCACATTTTTCTAGATTCTTGTAGGGATAAATCACATCTCCGGTAATGAAGATGCATCTTTATATACTATTGAGAAGGAAAAAATGCCAAATTATATGGCTAGGCGTGTTGGCACATGCCTATAATCTCAGCACTTGGGAGGTTGAAGTAGGAGGACTACAGTGATTTGAGCCCAGCCTGGATTACATTGTGAGTTCAAGGCTATATGAGACCCTACCTCAAAACAAGTATACAAACACTGTTATGTCTTGATGGTGTATTAGATCTGATGCATTAGAATAAATTAATACAAATTAAAAATTTTTTTTCAAAATATTATCTCACTACACAGTACAGGATGACCCTGAACTCATTATGTAGCACCTATTGCCCTCAAACTCACAGCAATCCTGCTCAACCTCCCAAATGAGGAAATTTTAGTTTTAATGAATTATATTCATTATAATTTTGCTCTTTATCAAGCTCATCATAGAAAGTTTTGTTGTACTGAAAGGAAAGACACTTTATAATTTGTTAGCTGGCTTAGTGCTAACGGTCAAAGAATAAGTATTAATTGGGTAATGCTTTGGAGAAAAAAACAATATTGACATCAACAGAAATCACCACATCCCTTTTCACTCAGTTAACAGTATACTACAAAACAGCCTTATTCTATGAGAAGATTAACATCTCCCTATCATTCTATTATGATTATGGTAGTTAAAAGTGGAACCATTTGTCACCCCCAACTAATTTATGAATTGGAAGTAAGACAATAAAGAAGCAAAGGAGACATAGGGAGTGCACAAAAAGACAGGGAACTATAAGGCAAATAATTGGCATTTCTGTAGCACAGAACTCCTAGTAGGCCCAAATACTTCCAATATTATCCTGGAATAAAATTACCTGCTTCATATAGATATTTTGGGAGTTGAGTTGTTTTGCCACTTCCTGTATTTCCAGTAACAATAAGGAATGAATTGTCCCTCACAGCTTGAATAAGCTTTTTTCTTTGTTTCTGAATAGGAAAAATTGGAGTAGTACCTCCCTCTTGTGATGTGCATCCTTTCTCTTCTGTAGTAACAGAAACACAATTGTGCAATTAAAAGACCTGTAATGACATCTGTGACAACGTCTCACTGCTGAAAAGAACAGTACAATTTTAGGGCTAGAAGAGATCACTCTCTGATTCAGTTACATCACCCATGTACAATTTATAAGTAAAGGTTTATAAACCCAGAGCAACTTTTTTTTAACTGAAATATAACAACTCCAGCATTTGTTACAGCAATAACAAGTCCAGTACTTGGTAAAGTAGATATAGCATAAGGCGATGAAATGTGCATGAATACCTACACTGAAGCACAAAACCCAATTTTATTAAACAAGAGACTAAAAACTAGTGCACAGTAGAAAACTCTGAGTTGAATCAGAAGCCACCTGTGTTTGCCTTTGATTCATGGTTCAAGTTAGGTCCTTGTTCAGAGTGACTGATATCCCAGAAGGCCAAGTGGTGGGTAACCATGGAAACTGGCTCCTGGAAACTGGCTCCCTTCATACCATACCCAAAGGCAGGCTGGCGGCCCAAAGAAAGGGGGGGGGGCGCGATGCATGAGAAGAGAACAAAGGCTTTATGAGCCTGTTTAATAACAGAACGCATTTGGACATCGGGGTTCACTTTTCTGCCCCCAGCAAGGTTTTTACCTAACTTGGGTTTGGGATCGCCCCCCACAAACCAAAGTGCTCACTGGACACAAAGTTCGCCTCAGGTTTGGGGGACCAGGAAAAAGCCGCAGCTTCCTCCCAGCTGCTACTCTGTCTGCCAAAGGCGTACTTTTGTTCCCCCCAAAACCCCCTGCTGTAACTCCCGCTGGATTTCGTTACGTCCCGCGGACTGCACCTCTATCAGGGATGGAAACAGCCAAAGACCGCTCTTCCTGGAGCTCTCTGGACCGCTCTTCCTGGAGCTCTCTAGACCGCTCACCCTCCTCCTGCCGCCTTGGCGCCCTGCCCGCGACGGCGGGAAAGCGGGACATAGACCCGGCCCCGAGCAGAGGTGAGCACGTCCACGGGACCTGGAAGGATGGGAGGGAAAAGCGAAGAAAGACGCGCCCTGATGACGTCAAGGTGTTTACTTCCGCGCGTGCGACTGCCACTGAGGGAGGGCGGAATGGCTAGATGACGTAGCACGAGGGTGTGCGGCAGATACCAGCCCCAGCCGCCGGACGCGAGCCGAGGTCCCGCCCCCGAAGTTTTCAGTCTACTGCCACGTGTAGTCTGCCTTGGGCCGCGAAGCCATCCCTAAACCCCAAAGGCTGTCTCCATATTTTAATTTAGGGCACTATAGGGCTCAAAGATATCCCTTTTCATTGCAGCGGTAGTCACTGCAGACTATTCTACCTTAAAATGATGTGGCCCTTGGTCAAGGAGCTGGAGCCATCATGCAATAAAATCTCCTAACTCCCAAACTGTTCAAGACACACAGCAATTGAATTACCGAGCCAAACTTTCAAATTCTGTAGTCTCCAAAACTTTGGTCCCTGGTGCAGTTTCATTTCTCTCCTGGAACATTATATTTTAATTTATCTGCATGTTTTCCCTTCTGTCCAACAAAAGCCTAAAGTCCCACAAGAACCAGAAATCTAGCATATCAAAGCTTTGAGTTCAATCTTCAGCACTACAAAAAGCAAAGGAAATGACAGGCATAGAGAGAGAAGGAACCTCAGCGCCCCACTGTATACCCAGAAGCCAACTCAGATTCACAGTGGGCAGTCAATATTTGTTGAATTTGCTACATGGAAGAATGAGTAATTGATTTTAAGATTAAATTTGCTTTTATTAGATGTGCATTTCCTAGATGAAAAGTTATATTGAATGATTTTGTGGAGTAGGTCTTTCTGTTACAGATAATGACCGTTTAAAAAATATTGTTGACTATATATCAACACAAAGGGAAGAGTTTCCCCAGACTTTCATTTGTTTCTGCTGTTAGAATTAAGAACTCCTGTAATCCCAGCACTCGGGAGACTGAAGTGGGAGAATCGTTGCAAGTTCGAGACCAGCATGGGCTACAAAGTGAGCTCAAGGCCAGCCTGAACTGCACAGCAAGACCCCATCTCACAGAAGACAAAAAAAAAAAAAAAAAAAAAAAAGAATTAAGAACTAAGTAAACTTGAAATACCAAACAAGGCAACTCAAAGTCATCACTTCATCATCAAGTCAAGATTCTTACTTGCTGACCGGACTTCAGAAATACTCCTAAATCATAGACTGCAAGCCTTTGCTGTGATTTGCAATGTACTGTGCCAACTCCTTTCAAATGGGACTTGCCAGCAGCCCCTAAAATGCAGATTTTGAATAATACCATATTAAGTGCAACTTTCTAATGTCCCCAATACTGCAGGGATATAAATCTGGTAATAAGAGAATGTTAGGTTTTTCTCATCCATTAGGGCAACTCCCAATCCTGTGAGTTGTATTAATAATTCAAAATACTACAAATCAGGAAAAAAGAAAAATACTTGCACTGGAGGTAAAGAAGATATTGATGACCTCAGTATTTCAAAACTGGGCCAGCTATATCAATTATATAATAAAGTCACTTTCTGAGAAATAAGCCAAATTATTTCAGGTTAATTATTTCAGTTACTATTTACTGAGTAGTTAGTAATCAAATGTTTAATGTAAGTCATTTCTTGTATTACAAAAATTTAGAGGTAGGTTGTTACTATTTCTAATTTTCACACATGAGAAACAAGTCTTAGAAACTTGCCCAACAAAACAGTGAGCTAAACTGAGCTAAAGGGACCAGATTTCAGTCACACTATGGGAAAATGGAACTATCGGATCTTCCCATATAAATAGTGCATTTTCTTACAGTGTTTGTAACTCATAGAACTGATTCTTATAAGAGCACTGTTGTGACCTAGTTCTAACCATTGTGCCTCATTTCTGTTCTGTATGCGTTGCTCAGCGCCCCCCCCCCACCTTCTAGGTTAAGTTTCAGTTTCCTGAGAAAGCTGTAAAAGCCCCCTCCCCTACCCCTTATCCGGCTATCTGTAATAAAATGTGCTATTCTTTAAGAAATGCTTAACTTCAAGGAAATTACAGGAAGTTCTGTAAAGCCCAGATGCTACCTGTGTCAGCAATTACAACATTCCGGTGGTTTTCAGCTTTAAAAGCCTAATTCCCCAGCTGTGAGGTGCACAGTCTCCAAATTGGCTCCCGGGGATTGCATTGCCAGGCCTGGCCTAAGATAAGGCCTTTGCTCCCCAAATTTTAATTTCTTGCTTCCTTGGGTTTTATTCTGGGGTCCGAGCTATCACAAGCACCACCTACAGAGAATATCCAAAATAAAACCATCAACCCAGGAATGAAGGAAAATAAAAATGAGAAGCTCAAATGGTGTTTAACATTGTAGCTTTTACAACCAAGGACATTTATGACATGTTACCATTAATAGCCATGTGCTTGGGGCTGTTCCAAATTGAAAGATTAACAATTGTTTCCTGCCCAGTGAGTTTACAAATTATAAGGGCAAACAAAACACAGACTAAAAATAGAAAATACATGGGTTGATTGGGGAAGAGAGGGTAGTGTCCCTAACAATATTGCATCTAGTTTGTTTTCCCCTCCCTATGTAGTTCAGGCTGACCTTGAACTCACTGTATAGTGCAGGATGCCCTTGAACTCATAGTAGTCCACCTGTCTCAGCCTCCTGAGTGATGAGATTACAAGTGTAGCTCTTGTTATCCTGGAATCACAAGAGAAATGTGAAAGAAGTGACATTTAAAAAAGTATAAGAAATGTGAATTTCACAGTGCTGCTAATGAGCAGTCTGAGAATGTTCTTGAATCCAAACAACCTGTTTCTGGGCATTCAAAAAGAAAGGGACTCAAGGTTAAAGATTAAGAAAAAACAAATAGAATTATTTTCATTCTCAGGAAAGTGAAGTATAGGGCCACTGTTGTGAGGGTTAAAAGTAATATACAGAGCAGAAAAGAAAATTATCAAAGGTGGTAACAGTAACATCAGGAAAGTTAAAAACACTAGAAAAGTGGTATATAGAAATCTGATAACATAAAGAGTGTGCAATGGTTTCAAAGTCAATGGATTTTTTTAACTTATTAATTTGACTGTAACATGAGCTATTGTGGTAAGAAGAAGCTGACAGAAACCAGACTGTAAATACTGGACGAGAGAATTAAACAGCATGCTGGGAATGTGCTTCAAGAATTTGGAGATACCTGGTCAGAACCAACGAAGGTACATGAAAGGGAGAGAAACAAACAGCTGAGGAAGATATTGCAGCTGCAACGTATCTTTATATTAAGTGTATATTAAGAAAAGATGTGATCAGTGAAATTATGGGGGTACAGTTAAAAGATGCATTGAAGGGAGTTGAAACCTAAGCATTGGTAAAGGACAATTAGCGAGTTTACGTTTTCAGAAAGGATACAGAATTGAAAGAGAGTGAACTTTAAGTCAGGATCAGTATGTTAAGATTGCATTTGTGGCAAATGTATACCCTGAAACATGAGTCGGATTGTTTTCTTTCCCTTTTCCTATCTCACTGGTAAACTGTGACCATTCTTTTTCTGCAAGCCTCATTAAAGCAGAAACAAAGATCCAAGGACACCGTTAACCAGGAGGCCCAACGCGAGCCTCCTGCGCATGCGCAAGCCCCGGCTTCTTCCGCCTCCTGATGGGGAATGCTGGGCCCGGGAGAATCAGAGAGCACAGAGGGTGTGAACAGGAAGGAAGGCGCGGGAGAAGGAAGAAAGCCTGCACGGGGCCAAGAGAAAGGATTTGGACTTAGAAATGTTTAATGGGGAACTAAAGAAAATGAACCATCTCCAAATATAGACTCCTTCCCCTTTAGCAATAAGTCAAAAACAAAAACCTGCGACCGGTCCTCATTTTCTAGTCCTAGATATGTGCACACCTTTAGAGAGAGGAAGGTGACCTTGTACATTCTATAGACAATAGAAACATAAAAAATATCATCTAAATCAGATGAAACCAGACAAACCACTGGGACGTTTTCTATGCGTTAATGGTAGTGAAGTGTATGCCACTGTGACATGGCCTATTAAGTTGTCTATAAACTATTAGCAATTTGGGGATTTGGAGGAAAATAATTAGCTGGCTGGACTATAAAATTTCTGAAATATTTTCCACTTTTCTGTCCACAATCAAAAGATACTATCACATTTTGTTCTCTCTTTTTAAAAATTGTTTCAGGTGTACAAATATTAAGAGTTGAGTAAAGCACCACAGGGTCAGTCACCCAGCAGATTCTAACTCACTAGTCAATATTACTACGTGAGGAAGTTAATAGAAATTGAGATAATCATTGGAATGAAAATGGACATTTTACTTATACGCATCTAATCTTTAACAAATACTTGAAATTCTTGTTACTCTACTGGTTCTTTGCTTGTTTTTAAGACAGGGTCTCAACGTATAGTTCAAAATAGCCTTGAATTCACTATGTGGCCAATGCTGGCCTTGAACTTGTGGCAATCCTCTTGCCTCAGCTTTCCAAGTGCTAGGATTACAGGCATGCACCACCAAAAGCCTCTTCCAAATGAAAACTCCATGTTTACTCTAGCTTCCTATTTATTCATCCATGTATTTATTCAACAAATAGTAAAATGTACAACCATGATGTACACTCTTTTTAATAGTCATATGGAAACATTAAAGTATAGTCATACATAGTCATTAACCTCCACTGAGGTTACACATAAGGAGATAAGATACATTAAGGAGGAAAACCTAGCTAGAATAACTAGGTACGGCTTCATGGAATTAGTGACATTTGAACTAAGCTTTAAAAGTTGAAAAGGTTCTAGTAAGTGCTAGGAAATGTCTAGACAGAACAAAGTTCAAAAAGGCCCTAAAAGAATAATTGAGATTTTAGTTATGATTTTTTTTTTTTTGTGACAGGGTCATGCTATTTAGTTCAGGCTGGTCTTGAACTCCTTATGTAGCAGCTTGCCTCAAACTCATGATGATCCTCCTACCTCAGCCTCCTGAGTACTGGGATTGCAGGTGTGAGCCACCATGTCCAACTAATAACAAATTATTGAGAAACATGCAAAATTAATATTCTATCTC